AGAAGGAGACACCGCACAGTTGGAGACCCGCGATCTGCTGCTGCACCTAGCAGCAGTTCCAGCAGCCCGGTCAAGGCCAAAGGCTGCAGCAGCACGTCTTGCCTGCTGCTGCTGCCGCTGCTGCTGCTGCTGCTGCTGCTGCTGAAGCAGCGGCGCAGCAGCTGAAGAAGAAAGGAGACACCCGCCTGGCGCACAGTCGGCGACGGGTCCTCAAGGATCTGCTCGAGTACCTCTCTGAAGCAGCAGCAGCAGCAGCAGCAGCACCAGCAGCAGCAGTAGCAGCGCAGCAGCAGCAGTGCAGTGAGCAGCAGTGCTGCGTGCTTAGGTCTCACGAAAGGGGCTCCGATAGTCCCTAGGGGCCCTAGGGCCCCTAGGGCCCCTAGGGCCCCTAGGGCCCCTAAGGAGGCCCCTGGGGGCCCCCAAGACCCTTGGGGGCCCCTGGGGGCCCCCAAGGGTCTTTTAGTCTGCTGCTGCAGCAAACTTGCCTTGACTCCAGCAGCAGACTTAGGGGAAGGGGGCAGCAAAGCAGCTGCCATAGACACACGGCGTTGAGGCGGATTTCCCAGTTGGCGCACTGCAGCAACAGAGAGCACAGAGCTGCTGCTGCTGCTGCTGCTGCTGCTGCTGCTGCACTAGTTAGCGTGCTAGCTAGCTGGGCGGCTAGCTAGCAGCACGGGATGCAGTGAACGGCTAGCAACCTAAAGGCTAGCTAGCTACTAGTAAGTGCAGCAGCTAGCAGGTTCCCAGCTGCACTAAAGCGTGGCCTGGCGACGAAACCCTGCTGCTGCTGCTGCTGCTGCTGCTGCTGCTGCGGTCAGCGGTGCTGCAGTGTCTGCTGCGGCTCTGAAGCTGCTGCTTGCTGCTGCCTTGCCTTAAGGGCCCGCCAAAGGAAAGGAGCAGCAAGGCCCCACACGCTGAAGGAAGTAGAAGGGGCCCCCGCAGCATCTGCTGCTGACAAGGGGGCCCCTGGGGCGGCGCCAGTGAGTGCAGCAGCAGCGACCCTGCTGCTGCTGCTGCTGCCTGCAGCAGAGAAGGTTTGCTGCGACAGCAGCGGCAGCAAGCAGCAGCGGCAGCGCTGCGCCAACTTCAAAGGAGAGAAAAGAGAAGCTCGCAGCAGCTGCTGCAGCTGGCGGACGACAGACTCGCAGCCGAACTCCAAAGACACCTGCGCAGCAGCAGCAGCAGCAGCAGCAGCAGCAGCAGCAGCAGCAGCAGCAGCAGCAGCAAAGCCGGTCTTGCTGCAGCGGTAGCACTCACGCAATAACGAGCACCTCGGAATCAGCAGCAAAGGAAGCCGCACATCATGGCTGCAGTGCGAAACTGAGCAGCAGCAGCAGCAGCAGCAGCAGCAGCTGCTGCTGCTGCTGCTGCGGTTGCTGCTGCTTCTTAAGCTGCTGCTTCTGAGGAGGCACTTTAGCAGCACCCACCTTCAGGGCCTGCAAGAAGAGGGAGCCCATTTGCTGCAGCTCTTTTGCTGTGACGCTTCTCTCTTCAATAAGAGACACCAAGTGCTGCAGCACACCATAAACCCTAAACCCTAAACCCTAAACCCTAAACTCGCCCCCGGAGCCGAAAGCGCAGCAGCGGGTTAGTTAGCTAGCTAGCTAGCTAGCTAGCTAGCTATTTATCTAGCTAGCTACTTAGCTAGCTAGCTAGCTAGCTAGCTGTCTAGCTAGCTAGCTAGCTAGCGACTGGGTGGGCTGTTGGCTAATCCTGGAGCCCGCATGGACTGGGCTGTGCGACGCATTGGGGTCGGCTAGGGTTTAGGGTTTAGGGTTTAGGGTTTAGGGTTTAGGGTTTACGCGGAAGAAAACCAGTTGCAAGCCTTTGCTTCTGCCCCAGAACTGAGCGAGAGCCCTGCGCCCCTCGGGCTGCTGCAGTAGGCTTGAGTTGGGCGCTGCAGCAAGCAGCAGCAGCAGCAGCAGCCGCCGCAGCTGCTGCTGCAGGGGCCCCTTCTGCTGCAGCACCACGGGGGGGGCCCCCCCCAGCTCCAGCAGCTGCTGCAGGGGGCCCCACAGCCTGGGGCGGCGGGGCAGGGAAGCAAGAGTTGCAGCAGCAGCAGAAGACCCCTGAGGAAGTCCAGCCCCAAACCCTAGCTCCTAAACCCTAAACCCTAAACCCTAGCGCCTAAACCCTAAACCCTAAACCCCAAACCCTAAACCCTAAACCCTAAACCCTAAACCCTAAACCCTAAACCCTTGGGCGCACCAGGGGGGACAGCGCGTTGGCCAGAAGCAAACTCGAGGCCCCAGCAGCTAAACCCAAATAGAGGGGCCCCTGCTGCAGCGCGGGGGGCCCCTCTAAACCCTCGAGGGCCCTAAGGAGACACTGGGAGACAGCACTTCTGTGTTTTTGCTGCCGCAGCAGCAGGGCTTGGGGGCCCCTGGGGGCCTCCCCTGGGGGCCCCTCCTCCTCGTCTGAGGGGGCCCCGAGGTCCTCCTTGGGGGCCCCCCTAAACCCTTGACTTTTGCAGACAAAAGGGCCTCTAGGGGGCCCCTCTCCCAGCCCCAGGTGCTGCAGCGTTGCTTCTGCAGCAGCAGCCAAACAGAAGCAGCAGCAGCAGCAGCAGCAGCAGCGTCGCGGGCGTGGGGCCCCCACGGCAACAGAGACCACTCAGCCGGACCTCGAGGGGCCCCTAGGGGCCCCCCAGGGGCCCCCAGGGCATCTAGGGGCCCCTAAGGACTACAGAACTTCCTGAAGGGGCCCCAAAAGAGCCAAATCACTTACCCCCAAGTACCCACAGAAAGGGCACTAGGGCCTTCATGAGCTGGGGGCCCCCCTCCCGCTGCTGCACTGCAGCAGCAACAACAGCAGCAGCCTCTAGCGCGTCGAGATAAGGGGGGCAAGGGCCCTTCTCGGGGGCCCCCCTGGAGGCCCCTTGGAGGCCCCCCGGGAGGGCCCCCAGGGGGGCCCCCAAGGGGTTCTCCAGGGGGGCCCCCAGGGGGGCCCCCAGGGGGGCCCCCAGGGGGGCCCCCGGGGGGGCCCCCGGGGGGGCCCCCGGGGGGGCCCCCAACTGGCCCGAGAGCCTAAGGGCATTCAAGAGGCCCCCAACTCGGTAGCAAAGCTGAGAGGCCTCAGGGGCAGTGAGCGCCAGCACATCTTCCTTAAGGGCCTGCAGCAAACAGCGAGCCGCTGCAGCTAAACCCTAGTTCGCAGGGTCGAGCTAGGGTTTAGGGTTTAGGGTTTAGGGTTTAGGGTTTGGGGGGCCCACTCGCGGGCGCGCTGCTGCTGCAGTGAGGTCTCGGAGACAGGCTGAGGGCAGCAAGAGCCTCTTTATGCTCTTTGGGGTGCTAGGGGGCCCCATGCCTGCAGGGGGGCCCCCCAGCTGCTGGGGGCCCCCAGGTGTTAGTCAGGGGGCCCCCTAAGGCTGCAGCGGGGGCCCTCTGGGAGCTCTTTGAATCATATTAAATGCAAATTAACAAAAAAGAAACAAATTGAAACAAAAGACAAAAAAACGGGACATGCAGCATGCTGCAGCAACAACAACCCCACCAGGGGCCCCCAGATGCTGCTGCTGCTGCTGCTGCTGCTGCTGCTGCTGCAGCAAACAAAAATCACTGAAAATGTACTTATCTGATTTAGAAAAGAATCTCAATGCTTTATTTCCTCACTTCTGCGGGCTTGGGCGAAATCAAGCAATGCCGTTCCGCTGCTGCTGCTGCTGCTGCTGCTGCTGTTGCTGCTGCTGCTGCTGTAGCGAGAAATTTGCAAGTTGAAAAACTTGAATTTTTGGAAATAAAGTGTCCATTAATTAATTCGGAGAATAACAATTATAATATCTGAATTTATTTAGTTTTTTATAAAACAAGAAAAACATATTTTATTTCTTCAGGAGGCGAAAATGATTTGTTACTAGGAGCGGCGCTCTGCCAAAAACAAGGAAAATAAATCAATGAACAAAAAATAATAATTTGTAAATAAAGATGAAACAAAATTAATTATTTAATTAATTAATCTTTCACGCTTTTATAGACATATTTTCTGTTAACAGGACATTTCAAATGCAATTTATTCAAATGTGATTTATTCAAATATGATTTACCAAATATGAATTATTCAAAATGTGCATCGGTGTACATACACCGCAGCGCATGCAGCCTCCCCTGCCTTGCATGCAATGCGCGCACATTAACAAGAGAGGATATACAAGCAATTACGAAAACAATTATTAAAATAAAATGAATAAAGATAGCTTTTTTGCAAAGCATTTGCACAGAGAGAGCACAAGCTTCTCTGCAGTGTGTGCAGCACTTGAGCATTTTGGTACTTCTCTTTGATCGCTTTAACTTCGACTGCTTTATTTGTCTTTTTCTAAAAGTGATAAAACCCTCCAAGGATTTCTGCAGACCATTTCTGAGGCGTCAGTACACCTCAGAGGCGTTAGTACACCCCAGAGGTGTCTATACACCTCAGAGGTGTCTATACACCTCAGAGGTGTCTATACACCCCAGCGGTGTCTATACACCTCACAGGTGTCTATACACCTCAGCGGTGTCTATACACCTCAGCGGTGTCTATACACCTCAGAGGTGCCTAGACACCTCAGAGGTGCCTGTACACCCCAGAGGTGCCTGTACACCCCAGAGGTTTCCGCACACCTCAGGGTGTACAGACACCTCGGAGGTGTCTATACACCTCAGCTTGCCCTACTTCAGACTACTTCCAAGCAGCTACAAAGCCAACCCCTACTTCAGTTGTTACAAAAGATAACTCGAGAAGTAAACCACCAAACAACAATGGCAAAGACGTTGCTTGAGTGATCAGCAGCCCCCGGGGCCCCTGGGGGGCCCCCGGGGCCCCTGGGGGGCCCCCGGGGCCCCTGGGGGCCCCCGGGGCCCCCACAGTACCCTCTAGGTACCCTACAGAGGCAGCCCTGTGGAGCCAAGGGGGGCCCCCTGCAGCGAAAAGGAAGCCCGGGGGCCCCCAAGCGTCGGGGGCCCCAGGCAGCCCCTTTGGCCTTAACTTGAAGCTCTCAATGTCTCAAAAAAGAGACAAAAAGATTACTTTTGGGTTTTTGTTTTCTTCCTCTGGCTCACTGCCACAGTCCCCTCTCTGAACTGGTTCTTCGCGCGGCGGGGCAGAGTCTTCAGGTAGCGCATTCTGCAGCAGAAGCAGCGCAAAGCGCCCGCAGCCAATAGCCAAACCCTAAACCCTAAACCCTAAACCCTAAACCCTAAACCCTCGAGGCGCACCTGCCCGTGCCCGTGGTGTGCCTGCGCTTCGCCTTCTCGGACCAGTTGTAGGTCCTCTTCTTTGCCGAGGGATATCCTGCAGCAAAAAGAAAGAAAAGCAGCAAAAAGAAATGCAGCAAAAAGAAACAAGTGCAGCAAAACGAAGAGCAGCAGCAAAGCGGGGCCCTGGGGCCCGGGTGTACGTACACCCGAAGCAGCAGCAGCAGCAGCAGCAGCAGCAGCAAACGCTGCAGCCGCCGCACGGGGGCCCCCAGAGAGCAGCAAAAAGGCCCGAAGGGCCAGCTGGCTCTGGGGGCCCCCCGGGAGCTGCGGTGTACATACACCGCAAGGTGTGGGGCGCAGCCGAGGTGTACGGACACCCCGCAGCCGCGCGTGCAGCCCCAAAATGCGGAAATGAAGAAAATAAAAAAAAACAAAAAGTGAAGAAAAGAGTTTGAGGAGAAGTCCGGGGAGGCGGGCTCCCCACAGGGGAGCAGGCGGGGTTTTGGGGAGGCGGCGGGCGCGTTCGGCGCAAACCCCAAACCCTAAACCCTAAACCCTAAACCCTAAACCCCAGCCCTACCGCAAGAGGCGCAGGTCTTCTTCTGCACGTGGTAAGAGCGCCGCCCACAACGCAGGCACAGAAAGTGGGTCTTTCCGTGGCGGCGCCCGAAGGAGCCAGTGCCCTTGCCTGCCTTCCCCATTTTGGAGTGTACGTACACCTGAAAGTCCGCAAAGATGGGAAGTCCAAGCAGCAACAAATCTCAACACTCAGCGCCCCCGAGCGCTGGAGATTCCCCATTGCGGCGGGGCTGAACGCAAGCCCCAGGTGTACATACACCGCAGCTCTTCCGGCCCCGCATGCACCCGAAACCACTGGAGCCCGCGGCTCCCGCGCCGCCTCGCCTTCCACTTCTTCCTTTACTGAATTTGTTTTCATTTTTCATGCAAAATAAACCCAAAAATTCAAACAATCTCAATTTAATTCAAGAGATCAGCCGCCTGCGCAGCCTGCTCTGCGCAGCTGTGTACGGCGACTGTGGGCAACTAGTGTACTCTGTGGGATTTACGAGAAGCACACTACACAAACCATTATTTGTGTAAAACCCAATTTTAAAATATAATTTTCTTAAATTAAAATTAAATTTCGCCTTTTTCGCAGCCACTAGGCAGGCCGGCGAGCAGCCTCGGCTGCCACAGCTCGCGGTGTACGTACACCCCAAGTGACCTTGCACTAAGCCCAAAATAAAGCAGCAGCTGTGCGGCTCCCAAGCCCCAGCTGGACCTCTGTGGGTCTTTGGGGCCCTCAGGGCGCCGCCTAGAGCCTAGAGAAGACAGGGGGGCCCCCAGGGGGGCCCCCAGGGGGCCCCCGGAGTGCCGATAGAGGGCTCTTTTAGTTATAAGGTGCCCCTAAAAAGCGCCAAAGACTTAGAGTCTAGAGTTCGCGCGAGTTTTGGCCCAAACCCTAGGGTTTGGGGCCCCGAAGCGCTACACGTAAATGGCCTCTCCTGGCTGTAAACAGTAGAAGCCCGGGGGGGCCCTGGAGGGCCGGAGAGGGCCCGAACAGCCCTCAGGGGGCCCCTGAGGGGACCCCTGAGGGGCCCCCTGAGGGGCCCCCTGAGGGACCCCCTGAGGGGGGCCCCCCGGGGGCCCCTCTGACCCTTCAACTGGGGCCCCCAAGTGCGGGTTGAAGGGTACTCCTAGCTTTGCGCATGCAGCCTCAGCTCTCAGCGGCGCCTCCCCGTAAGGTTCTCCCCCAAGAGGCAGCACATCGAAGCAGGAGGCCACAGTGACTCGGGAGCCCAGCAGCTGGTGGGCCTGCAGCAGCAGCAGCAGCAGCAGCAGCAGCAGCAGCAGCAGGTGGCAGCGACAGCAGCAACAGCAGCAGCTACAGCCACCCGGCAAGCAAGGTGGTTATTGGTGGGGTTGCTGCTCACTTGCACAGTCTCCTCAGGCGTCATGTTGAATCGCTGCAGCAAAGGGGTGGGCTCGTAGCCCCCTATGGGGAGCAGCGCGAGGTCCAGCCCCTGCTGCTGCTGCTGCTGCTGCTGCTGCTGCTGCTGCGAAAGTGTCTCGTGTCTTGCTGCAGCGAGCTCCTGCGCCATTTCTCTTGCTTGGGGAGTGGGATCGTCTGCTTCTAAAGGTCCCCAAAGAGCTTCGTACTTGTCTCTGATGCGGGACTGCTGCTGCAGCAGCAGCTCGTCGAGGCGCTGCTGCTGCGCTGCAGCAGCAGCAGCAGCAAGCAGCTCCGGGCTGAAGCCCTGGCGGCCACTGACGAAGACCTGGTGGGCCCCCAAAAGGGTACAGAAGGACCCCCAGCCCGCAACGCCTTTGTCGGGGCCCCACCTTGCTGCTGCTGCTGCTGCTGCTGGCAGCAGCAAAAAGGCAGCACCCCCCAGCCGCAGGGGGGCCCCCCGCCACTGCAGCGGATAGCCAAAGGCCCGCAGCTTGGGGGGCAGGTAGAGGGGCCCCACAGTCCCCTGGGGCCCCACAAGGGTACAGCTAAACTGCTGCTGCAGCTGCTGCAGGGCCCCCAAGTCCATTGCGTCGTAAGCAGCAGAAGTCAGCAGCACAAAGTCAATGGGGGGCAAAGAGGAGACAGAAACAGCAGCAGGACAAATGCGGCGCACTGCAGCAAAGCAGCAGCAAACGCAACACTTGCTGGCGAATTGCTGCAGCAAAAGGCCCCCTCCCTCCGCCGCTGCTGCTGCTGCTGCTGCGGCTGCTGCTGCTCCTGAGTTCGCCGCAGCACTAGCTGCCAACGCTCGCCCTGCTGCTGCTGCTACCGCTGCTGCTGCTGCGCTACTGCTGCTGCTACTGCGCTGCTGCTGCTGCTACGCTACAGCTGCCGCTGCGCTGCTGCTGCTGCTGCTGCTGCTGCTGCTGCTGCTGCTGCTGCTGCTGCTTACCCCCGATTCGCCCCCAAGGCCCGGCTCGCCGTGAGAAGAAGGGGTCCGTGAGGATGTTGAGGGGGCCCCCAATGCCTCCGGGGGCCCCCCGAGTCTGCAGCAAGAAGGTCCCGTGGCCCAGGGCCTGTACCCTCAGGAGGCCCTCGGGGATATCTGCTGCCTCAGGAGGGGGGGGCCCCTCGGGGAGACAAAGCCGGCTGGGCCAGATGGCAGGGGGCCTGTAGGGGGGCCCCCCATGGGGGGCCCCTGCTTCTCCCGGGGCCCCTGGAGGCTCCCCTGGGGGCCCCCCTTGGGGGGCCCCTGAGGGGCCCCCTGAGGGCCCCCCGGAAAGCCCCGTCGCGGGGCCTGGGGGGCCCCCTGGGGCCCCTCGGGGTGCTACCCACTGCCGCCACCGGTAACGAGCAAGTTCAAGGGTCTCCCGGAGAGTCAGAGAGGGGAAGGGGGGGCCCCCTGGGGGCCCCCAGGGGGCCCCCTGGGGGCCCCTCAGCGTGGGCTCGAAATGAACAATGAAACTCTTTAATAGGGTACGAGGGAGACCCGCAAGGGCCCCCAGCCAGCCCGGCCCAGGGGGGCCCCCCATCCTCTTAGCCAAAGTCCAGCGGGGACAGGGGCCCCCCGAAGCCTCAACAATGAGGGGCCCCTCAGCCACTCAAAAGACCCAAAATAAGTCCCTTTAAAAGTCAAATTACATGTTATTTCTAAACCTTAGGAGCTGCTGCTTGTTCTAGGGTTTAGGGTTTGAGTTCAGACCCCAGTGCCCGCTGCTAGCTGCAGCAGCCCCTGGAGGGGGCCCCCGGGGCCCGGGGGCCCCTGGGGCCCCCGGGGCCCTAAGCTAGACTCCTTCTGGGCTATGCACGGGGGCCCCTAGGGTTTAAAACAACACTTCGCATCCCAGAACTCAAGCCCTAGCAGCAAACCCTAAACCCTAAACCCTAAACCCTAAACCCTAGCCCTTCGCGGGGGCAGCTGACTGCTGGGGGCCCTCCAGGGCCACTGGTGTCTTGCCGCAGCAGCTGGAAGGCCCCCACAAGGGGCCCCCTGCAAATGCAGTGGGGGGCCCCCTGCCTGCCCAGCAGGCCTGGGGGCCCCCCTTTCCTGGGGCCTTTGCATGCAACCCTAGACCCCACAAGGGGGCCCCCGGGGGGGCCCCTGGGGGGGCCCCTGGGGGGGCCCCCAGAAGACACGCTCGAGGGGCAGGAGTGGGCCCCCGTGCTGCCGCGGCTGCAGCAGCAGCTGCTGCTGCAGCAGCGCGCCCAGCGGCTGTGGCTTCAGAAAGCGCTTAAAAACCCTCCAGGTAAACCCTAAACCCTAAACCCTAAACCCTAAACCCTAAACCCTTGTCCTGCACTTGTCCCTACGGGCACCTCCGGGTCAGCTTATAAGACTGTCGTGGGGTTGTAGCGGTTTAGGGTTTAGGGTTTAGGGCTTAGGGTTTAGGGTTTAGGGTTTAGGGCCTTTGTTGAATCTGGGGTGTACGTACACTCCAGCGGGTTCTTGCTTTTCTTTTGCTGCTGCCAGGAGAGCCACCAGCAACAAGAGACACCCCAGCTGCGCGAGACCCTGGTGAGCTAGTTCGCAAAAGGGTTTAGGGTTTAGGGTTTAGGGTTTAGGGTTTAGGGTTTAGGGTTTAGGGTTTTGGGGCGTCTTTGCTGCAGTCCCCGAAGGCCGCCCCTGCCCCCCGCCCCCCTGGGGACTCTCCTCGCTGGGCCGGAGGGAGACGGAGACAGACACTGCAGCAAAAGACACTATAATGGAGCTGGTGCAGCTGTGAGTTTGCTGCTGCTGCTGCTGCTGCTGCTGCTGCTGCTGCTTCTGCTGCTGCTGCGGGTGTCTCTGCGTCTGCTGCCGCTTTCCCTGGTGTCTCCGTCTCTATGTCTGAGACATTGTAATGGAGCTGCTGCAGCTGTGAGTTTGTTTGTGGCTTATTTGCTGCTGCTGCTGCTGCTGCTGCTGCGGATATCTCTGTGTCTGCTGCTGCTGCGGGTGTCTCTGTGTCTGCTGCTGCTTCCCCGGGTGTCTCTGTCTCTGAGCAGTCTCCTTTTTCTGTCCCCTTTAGCCGTTTTGCTGCTTCTCTTTGGTCTTTGCTGCTGCAGCTTTTGCTGCAGCTGGCCCTGTCTTTGTGTCTCCTGCTGCTGCTGCTGCTGCTGCTGCTGCTGCACTTTTGTCTCTTCAGGGGCCTGCACAGCTGCGTGCTGCCCTCCGGGGGGCCCCCGGGGGGCCCCCCTGCTGCTTGCTGCTGCTGCTTGTCGCTGCCCCTCTACTGCGACAGCTACGAAGTTGCTGCGCTGCAGCACAAGGGGCCCCCCCTCCCCTTTCGAGAGAGGGGCCCCCCAGTGATAGACTGGGGGAGGCCCCGGGCCTGTGCCTTTATGGGGGAGGGGGACGAGGCCCCGGGGCCCCCGCAGCCAGCAGCAGCAGCAGCAGCTGCTGCTGCTGCTGCTGCAGGGGACTCCTTCAGTCTCTGGGGAAGTGGGGGGCCCCCCCCCCCGTACCCAGAGCAGGGGCCCCTCACGCCAGCGAGCAGCAGGTGGGGCCCCCTAGTGGGGACTGCAGGGGCCCCTTGCCCCTGTTGAGTCTCTTTTTATTTTGGAGTCTCCGCTGCTGCGGCTGTCTCCTTTTATTTCTTTGCTGCTGGCTCGCTGCGTTGCTGCTGCGGGCGCGCAGGGTCGCTGCGGCTGCTTCTTCTGCGGCTGCTGCAGCAGCAGCAGCAGCAGCAGCAGCTGCTGCTGCTGCTGCTGCTGAAGGGCCAGCCCAAATGCCACACGGCGAACACCAGCAGCTGCTAATGCAGTTTCCATATGGGCCTTCCTCTACCCACAGCGGAGCTCACAGGGGGGTAAGCCTCTTGGCTCCCTGTGCTGCTGCTGCTGCTGCTGCTGCTGCTGCTGCTGCTGCTGTTCTTGCTGGGGCTGCTGCTGCTGCGGGCAAGTGAGGCGTGGCACCCCTTTTGCTGCTGCTGCTGCAGCCCTTCGTGACCCCCGGCACCACGGAGGCCCCCGGAGAGGGGCCCCCCCGCAGCTTTGCTTCTGAGGGCCCCAGACTTGGGGCTTTAAGGAACTTAGGCCGTTCTTATCTCACCAGGGGCCCCCTTTTTGCAGGAGTTCCGGGGGAAGATGATGACTCCGAGAGAGAAATGCCTGCGGAGGGGGGCCCCCCTGAAGAGGGGGCCCCTGGGGGCCTCTTTGGGGAGCGAGAGGGCCCCCCGGGGGCCCCGCCGTCTCCCCCCAGGGAGCTGGAGGCGCAAGAGGGTACTGCTGGAGGGGCCCCTGCCCGGGTCCTGGTGGGGGCCCCCGAAGACATGGAAGTGGGGCCCCCAGGGGCCCCCGGAAACGGCGCACCCAGCAGCCAGCAGCAGCAAGAGACAAGTGCCACGGGAGAAGCTGAGGGCCCAGAAGAAGGCCTGGGGTCTTTGTGACTGCAGCCTGTCTCCTGGGCCCTCCTGGGGGCCCCACAGGGTGTCCCCTCGGGGCTGCTGCTGCCAAATGCATGCAAACAGCAGCAAAATTGGGGACTGCATTCAGGCCCCTGGCCGCGGCTGGCCCTGCCCCTCTACAGAGGGTTTAGGGGGCCCCAAATGTCAAAAGGGGCCCCCGGCCTCCGACGCAGGGGCCCCTTAATGCTGTGGTTTGTGCTGCATGCAACTTAGCCGCCGGCAAAGAGGGGGCCCCCCTGCAGCTGGGGGGCCCCCCCTGCTGTCGCGGATCTGTGGGGCTCAAGAGGTTTTCCCCCAAACCTTGGAGGGGGCCCCCCTCACGGAGTTAAGTTTTTAGTGGAGACTTTGCGTTTTATTGCTTCATTGAAAAGCTCCTCAGAAGGAAACTTGTGAATTAAAAACTCTATTCAAATTCGAATTTTGACGTTTCGCTGGGGTGTCTGTACACCTGAGTTCGCGTAGCACCCCAGGGGGCCCCCAAAGAGATGAACCCCACAGGGTTAAATGTAGGGAAAGGGGGCCCCCTAGAAGAATAGAATGTTGCGGGGCCCCGGGTCTCTTCCGGGGGGCCCCCTGGGCCCCTTTGCGCTGCCCCGGCTACCAAGCCGGCAGCTGGAGAGAGTTGCTGCTGCAGCAGCTGCAGCAGCTTCCTCGCTGAAGTCTGCTGCTGCGGTTTGGGGCCAGGGGACACAAGGGGACAAAATTGCTGCTGCTGCTGTTGCTGCTGCTGCTGCTGCAGCGGCGCTGCCGCTGCCTTTTACCTTTAACGGCTCTTCGCGGGCCTCTCTGTGCTTCTTGATGCGTTCCTCCTGTCTCTTTTTTGCTACATCTTTTGCTTCTGTTTCTTTGTCTCTTTGTTGTTTTGTCTCCTTTTGTCTCTTCCTAACTTGGCAAAAGTCCCTCTGCGTCTCTGGCCCCGCTGGCCCTCGCGTGTTGCTGCTGGGACCACTTCAGCGGCTGTCTCCTTGCTGCTGCATCTCCTCGCTGGCGGTCCCCAGCTGCTGCTGCTGCCGCTACTGCCGCCACTGCTGCTGCTGCTGCTGCTGCTGCTGCTGCTGCTGCTGCTGCTGCTGCTGCTGCTGCTGCAGGCCCTCAGAAGACCACGAGGAGGGCGGTGATGTCGTCGATGGCTCCGTCTTCCTCCTCCCACTTCTTGCGGGCCTTGTTGACGAGGGCAGTGCAGCCCCCCGCAGGGTCTCCTTTGAGGACAAAAGGCTTGACAGTCTTGAGGGCTTCTTCGTTGGAGAGAAACTCCCAAACTCCGTCGCTGGCCAGCAGCAAACATCTGTCTCCTTCTCGCAAGCTAAAAGTCCCCACTTCCGGCTGCGCCACCACGCCCACGTTCGCAGCCAAAGAGTCTCCCAGCGAGCGCGACATGGCCAGCCCCGGCACGTCGTCCGTCGGCAGCCACACCCTGAGCAGCAGCAGCAGCAGCAGCAGCAGCAGCAGCAGAGGAAACGGCAGCAAGGCCGGGGGGACGAGCGGCAGCAAAGCCGGACAGCAGCAAAGTGAGAAGTGCAGAAACAGCTGCCACGCAGAGCAAGCCACCCAACACGGGGCAGATTGCAGAAGCGCACTAGCAGCAGCAGCAAGCAGCAGCAGCAGCGCCAGCAGCAGCACCAGCAGCAGAAGTACCAGCAGCAGCACCAGCAGCACCAACGCCAGCAGCACCAGTAGCACCAGCAGCACCAGCAGCACCAGCAGCACCAAAAACCAACAGCAGCAGCAGCAGCAGCACCAAAAGCCAACAGCAGCAGCAGCAGCAGCACCAAAAACCAACAGCAGCAGCAGCAGCAGCACCAAAAACCAGCAGCAGCAGCAGCAGCAGCAGCAGCAGCAGCAGCAGGTTGTCGGCAGACCTGAGGGGCCCACAGGGGGAGCCGTCCTCCTCCTGGAGGGGGGCGATTCGGCCGCCAGCTGCGAGAATGCGTTTTCGCTCTGTCTCCAACTCGGGCTTGTGGTCTGTAGTGAGGGGCACTGCAGTCCAGGGGCCCTCGGGGGAGGGGCCCCTCCCGAGAATGGCCCTGCTGTCCCCGACGTTGGCCACGTAAAGAGTGCGTTCTTGCAGCACGCAGGCCACGCAGGTGGTCCCGCTGCAGAAAATGTCAATATTGCCTTTTTTCAACTCTTCGTTGGCGGCCAAGTAGCCCGCAAAAAGGGCCTTTTGGAGGCCCCCCTGGGGCCCCCAGCTCTCGCCCACGAGCCGGGGCAGCCTGCGATTCACAAAGCCCGAGACCAAGTGCCCGGAGGGCCCGTGGCCGTCCAGCACTGAGACCCACAGCGCGTCTTCTTGGGGCCCCCAGCCCTCCACCACTCTGCATGCATCTTGGTTTGTCTTCCGGGTCCCTGGCCCGCAGCTGCCCGCGCGGCTCAGCGATGCATGCGAGGCAAACAGCCGCTTCCGGCGAACTCCGGGGGCCCCGGGGGGCCCCCGCGAGGGGGGCCCCCGGGCGGGGGCCCCCCGACGCCCCAACGCACTCTCGCCGGCCGGGGGGCCCCCAGAGAACGCTGAAGCTGCGAAAAGCAAACACACGGCGTGAGTCGCGAGTCCGAAGCTCTAGACTCCAAGACGCGGTAATTCAAAAGTGGAATAAATCTAATACTTTTATTTCACTCTCAGTGCGGAACTGCTTGTTTCTGCAACTACGTGGAGCTGGCTCGAAAGGAACAAAGAATCAACAGACAAAAAGTCGAAACTTTCGCACTTCTGATGCCTTCGTCTCTGGTCACTGGCTCGTCTTTCTGCACGTTGGGGGCAAGAGTCAGTCTCTTAGTCTGCTGAATCAAAGCATTGAGGGAGGCCTCAGGACCTCCTGGGGCCCCCCCGAAAGGCCTTTGATCAGCCTCGAAGGCGCCTCCTGGATTGTTCATGTTCCTGCGTGCTGCAGTGCCTGCTGCGGCGCCCCAGGAACTAGCTCATAGTTTGGTGGGCAGCCCCAGCAGGCTGCTGCTGGCTGCAGCTAGCTGCAGCTAGCTGCAGCCCGCTGCTAGTTCTTCTTGCAAAACTCCTTTTCTCGAAACGCCAGCCGCGGAAGGCGCGGAAACTTGGCAAACGAGCCGCTTCACTTTCCCACAATGAAGGACTTTGGTGTCCGCAAAGAGAGCCCCGGGCTCTCTTGTTCAGTGACAACCTCCTGAGAGGCTTCAAAGGCGGAAACAACGCAGGCCTTCGTTTCAGGCCTGCATTTCGGGGTTTGCAGGAATAAGGCCGGGGCTCTCAGAGGAACTCGGCGGGCACTGCTGGAGCAGACTACGAAATAAACCAAAAATGCTGCTCCCAAAGCTATGATTGGGCTCCCAAAAAGACCAACAATACAAGCGAAAACTGTGGCTTTGCAATTTTGCAACTAAAGGAGGTACAAATTGATTCGTGGTCAGGGGCTGGCGCCCTGCTTTCTCCTCGTCGGCAGCGATTTAAAACCGCACCCAAGGTCTTCAGGGTTTTCCCTAGGCGGTGGTTGTTTGACGCTAATACAACAAGTTCAGATGTGCGCAAATCATTCAAAGTTAATAAAGAGCTCAAAATTTTAATTCTTAAAGGCCATTTGCATGCTCATGTTGCGGCGGTCGGAGCAGCAGACCGTGTGGTGACCTCAAATGTCTTGGAACAGGTGGCTGAAGGCTCTTTTGTGCACTTTACACCAAATGCTCGGTTCAGATAAGCTATAAACGCCAAATATTGAGAGCTAATCGTTGTTTATGCCGCTATTTTGGCTTTAAATAATCGGATTTGAGCTCTGTGGAGAGGTGAAACGCTGTTTGTGTTTCCAGTCCTGATCTGAAAGAGTCTCGTCAGCGGCTACTCGTCATCAGTGGCTCCTCTGTTTAAGCAAACTCATCTTTAAGCTCGTATTCTTTAAATTAAATTGAATAGAAAGACGGCGAAAGAAAAAGCCTCAGACGAAGCAGCTGGCATCGTGACGTTTACGTGTGTCAGCTGTTAGGGGTTTCAACTGCAAGTGACCCCAACAGTGGAAGCGGCAGCAAACATAGTGCTAGTCCCAGTCTTATTGCTTTTACATTTTCTAAAATGCCATCGAGGCACGCCCTGCCACAGTAGCAATGAGGACGTTGTGAGCAACAGCAAGTGTCCTAGTTCCTGGCGAATGTGCCTGTGCCAAACAGTGCTAGCTAAATGCCTACTCAGATGAGCAACAGCTAGCAGCAATAAATCGAGTTACTTAAATTAAGTGTAACACTACACTGGTCCTCCGAAAATAAAGCAAATGCATTGGCCAAAAGTTCCGCCTTAGCCATCCTGTGGTCGCCGCCCCAAGGCCCTCACGCCGGTGGCGATCTCAGGAATATCAGAATTGCCTTCAAATACTTTCTAGCGTTTACCTATAGCTCATTCACCCTGGAACACTGAATGTATCTCCAGGCGAAAACCGAGAGGGCCGGGATACAGGGGGAGTAAAGCTTGCAAGCTGCTCACTCACTATCCCGCTTACTGCGCACGAGGTCAGTGGTCTTTAGGGTCAATCCTGATACCCATAACCACAAGACAAATGGAATAAGCGGGGAAGCAGACAGTATAAAGTCAATTTTTCGGCAGTCTGCGTTTTTGCTGATGGCGCTGGGGCGCATTGTGTTGCTTAGAAAAGTTACGAGGAAGCGAAGTGATGGCAAACAAATGCTACGAAGGGGTAACTACTCCAAACCCTAATGACGGCTAGAGATGACCTGCCGCTACATGACCTAGCTTTGTTCGAGTCAAGTTCGCTGTTCAAGAAAAAATTCGGAGTATTCAAAACAAAGATGACGTGGCAGCCGCGCACTTGCGCGCCTCACTTCTGGAATACATCAGAGCAAGAAAGTCACAACGAAAGCAAGTAGAGAAGGCAAGCATCGCAGAGCTGAGTTTCATTCAGCACAGTTTTCGTGTTACGCTTCTGTTGCAAATCTTATGGGAAAGTGGTCGGGGGGCTCAAAATGTAAATCTATTATCGAGACCGTCAAGGCTCATGCAAAGGTGCGAAGCTACAGGCTGTTCGCCTATGGTGCGAGCGGTTGCTGCACTGTAGTTCTACCACTTCATTTCTCAAGAATAGACTGGACTCTAGAAGAAGAATCTCGAGTGGTTAAGGCAATTTGCCCCACAGGTTCTACTCCTAACAAGTCGTTCACAAACCATTCGGTCGGTTAGCCGCTTTTACCCCAAGCAATGTACCTTGACCTAGAATTGGAGCCAAGGTGTCGAAAAGTTTGCTTTAACAGAGAGAGTATCGTAAAAAACATGAATGTGAACTACAGGAAGACACTAATGGCCACACATTGCCGCAGGTAACCACAATTTGCTAGAAGTCACCCTTTGTAAGCAGGGCTTCTCGCAGCTCCTCAGAAGCAAATAAGCAAAGTAATTAAAACTAGGGCTGCAAAGTATTTTCAAAAAAGCGGCTGATCGATCCAAACATAATGGGGGTCAGCGAGTCCACTCGAGTGCTTCGTCCAAGACACATACTATTTTCTAGTGGAAGGCTCAGAGCGCCCAGCAAGATAAACAAGATCACTGCAACAAAGCAGTAAAATGTACTGTGAAATCAATGTTCCCGAATTCGAGTGCAACATGATGCAAGTAAGGGCAGTTAGCCACTCCTCAACTGCATATTAGCATCCTTATGATCACGCACTGCGTTTGAGGCAAAAACTGTGTTGAACTTCAGAAACAGCCTACGTGTGGCAAATTATTATAAAGCCAAGTCTGGCCTCGTGACCAGTAGCGGGGCTCGGCGAAGCAATATCTTACTTAAACTTGCGGTGCACGCCGCCTACAAGTGCACGGGCTGATTGACGGTGTGCATAATCCCCCATGGAATCGCTAAACAACAGCCTGGAATCTCGGCTAGAGTAGGTCGCAGGCATGACGAGGAACAGCTTATGGTAGGACAGCCTGTAGAGCGCTTATGGTAAGACAGCTTGTAGAGCGCTGTGCTCGGCAAGAGCTGCCTTCGTGTCTTCACACTTTCGTATTTGTGCACATATATATCTGTGCCTAGGCATACTTGCTCGCTCGCATGTGGGGAGCATACCTTTGTAAGTGCACGCGCTTTTCGTTGCAGATGCACACTCACCTGACATAAGGACGCCACTGGACGCACACCGGCCGGCCACCGTTACCGCTGACTCCCCCAGGAAATGAAATTTCGTTACAGTCTCATATCTTCTCAAAGTCATACAAGTCGGATTTTAAGGTTTTGCACGCCACTGACCTCTTTGTTTGCTTTCGTGAATTTGTGTGCCGTTCGGGTTGTGCCTCAAGTGGCCAGCTGAGTCAGGATTGAGAAAGGGCGAAAAAATTATCTTCGTCTGAAACGGGGGTACATTTATACTTGGCTTACATCATTTCACCTAAATCACTTAGTATGGCCTACAGAACTGTGGATAAACGGATGAAAAACACAGCCCCACTCTTTGCGTGCTCTGAGACGCAGCAGGTCATGTCCGTGGGTACTTCTCTCTTTCTGGGGCTTGTCAGCTTTTTGACCTGTTCATTTCAAGCTTTTACTAAAATTATTGTCTTCTGAGTTTTTTTCAAAGGGTCTGTTTCTACCTGTGAGCTACAGACAGCGCTTGGAGTTCACGAGCGGGACGTCACGAGGTCACCGCTGCTCGAGCGAAGGGCATTCGTAGTTACTTTCTTGTAGCAGCTTGTTTTCCACTGAGCAGCCGTACGCGTCAATTATTATCAAAGATGACGGACGGTAAATACATAAATGAGGACCTGAAAAGGGAGCGGAATAATCCCCCTTTCGACTTGGAGGCCCTTGCCGTTGCTATTTACGGAAAGGAAATGTATCCAAAGCTCAACAAACTCCACAGGCTCTTTGCAAAAAATGAGAATCTTGACCTCAGACACACCTGGTCGTGCGACAATAAAACCAGGTACCATTTCCACCCTGCCTACGTAATTTTTTTGCGTGCGTGCAAACTTCAACTCCGAACTGTATCCACCTGTAACGCAACCACTCTCTGCGTGTGTGTGACGATATTGCATCCCAGTGTGTATTTCTCTGCATACATATGCATTGAAGAGCCGCATCAACTGTCTCAAAGCACAAGGGCTGGCGCCTGGATGCAAATGCTTGAGGGTTTAGGGGGTTCAGCTCAACGTTTCTAGAAGAGAACCAACCTGTGTTACTTCTTTGCCTCCATAGTTTGTTCCACGTTTTATGGCTAATGCATCAATTAATCACAGAGAGCATCACATCGCATTGTTTACCCAGAAGCTGAAGCTTTTCGAGGCGCCAGATTATCTTGAACAGGCTTTCCCTTGAGGTTCACAAGGGAGATGAACGCTCTTGCGCATTTTTCTGTAACCCTACTGTCTGTGCAATGGCCTACAGAGTAATGAGGTCTTGGTTTTTCACGGTTCATCGCCTTCTACCTCTGCTCGTGTTCGTGTCTCTGCACTTCAGGTACATCCTTGCTTGTCGAATAGCCGAGGAACTGGCCGATCTAGCTCGCAAGCACAATCTTTTGGACGACCCCGAGCTTGTGGGAGCATTGCAAGTGATGGTGGGAGAAGAAATGTTCCTCCTGCTGCACCTAACCATGTTTATGTGCACCCTCGAGGCAATGTGCAATGAGGAACAGGTATTTAACAAATGCAAACATATACAAATATTGACGTATTTGAGCGTTTACAGGAACACTAGCCATTCGTCAAAGTGAAACTGCGCGGGTATATGCCGTAGATTGCATGCTTCCATTGAATGCAGGCGTGGGTGGATTTTACTGCGCAGAACTCTGCATGTGTCAATATACTTGTTTTCCGAAGCAGCGTTCACTTGTTGCTCACGCGAAGTTAACCGAGTGTCGAACTGGAAGCGGGGCTAATACGTGTCTTGAGGAGTCTTTTCTCCTGTCTGTGTTATTGTGGTGTCTGCGGTTTTGTGGCGTGCTCGCTGTGCGTGTGGGTGTTTGCCTTTCCATATCTGCTAACTCCGCCGCCCTCTTTGTTCCTTGTTATTTCCCTGTTCCGATGTGTGTTCCTTTTTATGACTGTTTGCTTGCTAGTGTGCCTCTGCCTCCCATTACCCGCGGATGCTGTTTGCGTCTTCTTCCCCTTCTCTGCTTTTGTCGCTACCAGTTTATCACCCGACACATCAACAAGCAGTCATCGGAGTTTCTTTAGACCTTTGGTTTGTCTGTCTGCTTCACATATACAGGCGAAGCATTGGATGCCTCTGGCCCGGGACTTCCGCATACTGGGCACGTACGCACAAACGGAGCTGAGTCACGGTTCCAACGTGAGTCGGCTGGAGACGGAGGCTGTCTTTGACGAGGAAACCGACGAATTTGTCCTCAACACGCCTTCCCTTACAGCTAGAAAGTGGTGGGTTGGTGGCCTCGCCAAATCTTGCACCCATTGCATCCTCATGGCCAGGCTCAAAATTAAGGGCAAAGACTGGGGTGTCCATCCCTTTATTTTGCAGGTAAGCTCACACATCTGCACCAGTGGAACAATTCTTCAAACAGCCTCAACAGAACTTTGCAGATAGCTTCATGTTCGTTTCCGCAAAAACTACTAACAGAAGCCGTAAAGCGCTCTCAGGTAGTCAAAGAGCACGAAAATTGTCTCCTTACGCAGGGCTATTTGGGAAGTAGGAAAAAGTAAATATTTGCGGTCACATAAGGCCCCCACAAATTCACAACGGCTTCTTGGGCTATGCGCCTTCTTTCTTAATTCGCGTGTGTGGGCAATGACCACTTTGCTTAGGGTGTGGTGCTGTACGCTTAGGTGCGGGACCTTAATGACCACAAGTCGTTGCCTGGTGTAACTCTGCTGCATATCGGCCAAAAGATAGGGTACCAGGGAGTGGACAACGGGAGTTTGCACTTAAAAAACGTGCGCATACCTCGTAAGAATCTGCTTATGAGGTTCTGTGAGGTGGATCGAGACGGCACATACAGGACTACTCGCAGCAGGAAGCTCCTCTATAGTACGCTTACCTTCACCCGAAAACAGATCATACGCTCGGCAGGAGCGCATCTTTCGCGCAGCATTGTTGTCGCAATACGGTGAGAGACTACAGTCCTGCTGCAGCTGCCGGGGCCACTGCTGCAGCGTCCTGCCCGGATGAGTCTTTCCCAGTTTGGCTGCTAGATTTGATCTCCACTGTTGAGTCTCACGCATGCCGCTTCCGCCTTCATGGTATTGTTCTCTGGGCTGTGCGGACTGAGCAGAAGAGGGCGTTCATAGTGTTTGCTTGCGTTGCTCTTGCAGCTACTCAGCTGTGAGGAGACAGTTTGCGTCTCTCGGAGATGCAGACGGTGCGGAACAGCAGGTACTAAATTACAGCACCACCCAACGGACATTGCTTCCCCTTTTGGGGATGTCCATAGCTTTCATACAGACTGGACAATGGACGGACGAACTCTACCGGGCATTTAAGGTCCGTTCTTGGAACTGAATACCTGAAATTCGCCGAAATACCTTAGAATCTGCAAGTTACTGTCCTCGCTACAAGCAACGCCCGTTCCTCGTGAATTTCTGAAGCGCACTGTTCAGTACACGCCTCCAAATTGAATCAGAGGTGACAGAAATTAATTTGAACTTTGTTTTTTCTAAGGTTGAAGCTGACAGGGACGTGTTCGATAGGCTCGAAGAGGTGCACCTGGTGACAAGCTGTTTAAAGGCGTACATGACGCTGGCAGCGGCTGAGGGTATTGAACAATGCAGGAGAGCCTGCGGTGGGCATGGATACCTCCAGGCCTCTGGGGTTTCCCTGCATCTCGTCAGCTACCTCCCTCAAGTCACATACGAGGTGAGGAAAATAACGAATTAAAAATTCATCACATGCAAGGATGCAAAGCCCTAGAAGTGTCACGAGCAGCAACAATAGCAGAATCTTTGGCAGACGCTGCAGAAGCAACATCACAATTAAATGGTAGCAAGCACCTTGCTTGCGTTTGTTACACTTCCACGCCCATGTTCTGTACTGCGATTCGCATCTACGCAGGGCGATTTCGTCATTTTGTCTTTGCAAGCGGGACGGCTGCTACTGAAAGTTGTGGGCAACAGAATGGCAGGAAATATTCCCTCTGAAGCGCTGACCTCTTCTGTCCGGCACCTATACACGTTTGACTTTGATAGCATCTCTGAAGTCGCTGTAGTAACCAGAGAAGACCTCTTGTCTTTCAATTGGATGATCAAAGCATTTGAAAAACGGTATGCTGGCCACGTCGCTGCCGCTGGTGGTAACGCTGCTGCTTTTGTCGCTGCTGCCTTTGGTTTTACTTCTAGTATTGCTCACCTGCTGAGAAGGAGCCACCGCTGGTACTCTTCCAGTTGATGTTGCATTCATTCATGCCATTGCCGCCGTTTCCCGTGTTTCCGATGTGTTTGCGGTTGCTGCATTTTGCGGCTTGTGGCATTCCTGCACTTATCACTGGGTTGGCTTCTGTCTCTATCTATTGTGGCATAGCTTGCCTTTAATGTGCCCAAGTTCCCTTTGTACTTCCAACTCTACACCTTCCCATGCGACTGCAGCTCACTGTTCATTGCCAGTTGACTCTTCAGCGGACTTCTACGTCTTGTACTTGTTTCCCTTAAGGCTTTTTATCATGACTATTTTTGAAACCCCTTAATTCTCCCGACCGCCGTCCACTCTCTGTCTGTCTGCTCAGAGCCTCGGTCTTGGTGTACATGACAGCGCAGCGCTTTTCAAGCTTAGGAGGCCCCTCGTCTGCATCTGCGTTCGAAGCCATAAAGGTGGACTTGACGAAAATGACGGTGGCCCATGCACAGCTACTAATTGTGCGAAACTGCCTCTCCTCCCTCGAACGGCTGCAGCGAGAAGGACAACAATCTGTACAACGAGTTCTAGAGTGTCTCTTCCGCTCTTTAGCACTGGCATGGCTGGACGACCACCTCGCCGAGTTTCTGATAGCTAAAGCTGCCAATGTCGAATCTCATACACTCATCAAGGAAACGCTGGCAGATGCATGCGCAGAGGCCAGAAAAACTGCAGTTCTCGTGGCGGACGCGTTCGGGCATAGCGACAACTTCCTGAACTCAGCTCTTGGCCGGTACAAGAACCACATAGCGCCTAAGCGATTAACAGCTTAACTCGTACTGTCTGCAGCTCAAGGCATGTGGTCTTGTGCTTTGACACCAATAATTTAGAGTTTGTGACATGGGATTTAGAGTATGAATCTGCAACTCTTTAGGCGGTTTTGATCCGATTTTTTGATACGGGGTAAAGATTGCAGAGTCAAGCGCTTGTCGGCGTTCGTAGGTACGACGGGGACGTATATCGCGCGTTGTTCGACTCTACAAAACTGGACAGCCTCAACCAGCAGGACGTATCTGAGTCATACAAACTCTACATCCAATACATCTTACATCCGGAAAGAAAGACGGCAAGGCCAAAGCTTTAGATCTCTAGTCTATACCGTTCCAACGGACCCGACACAGGCCGTGAGGTGGGTTGGGAAGCAAAACGTTTGCTTCTGTTGATCGTTACAAGACGCAATTCAGGTAGCCAGCAGCGAGTGCCGCCGCAGCCGCAGCTGTCGCGTCAGCGGGTACTAGGAGCAATGTCTCATGAACTAGCAGCAGCGGCAAAGGCAGCCTCTCGATGAAGATTGTCACACACAGAAACAGCAGCAGCAGCACTTGTGATCTAGGGACTCGGCGTCAAGTGAGTCTTGGCATGTTGCGTTTTCGCTTCTGCTTAGAGCCGGCAGAAAAGACATATGCCGTGCAATCTCCTCTGTAGAGGCCACTCTCAGAGCAGCTGCAGGAGCAGCCGCAGCCGCAGGAGCAGCCGCAGCAGCAGCCGCAGCAGCAGCCGCAGCCGCAGCAGCAGCCGCAGCCGCAGCAGTCGTACGTGCATCCATAGGGACACTCGCGACAGCAGCCGCAGCATCAGAAGCCGCACTAGAAACAACAGCTGTATGGACGGCAGCGGCACAACAGCAGCGACAGCAACACCATCGTCAGCTGTCACAGGAGCAGCAACAGCCGCAACAGCAACTGCGCGACGAATTTTTACTTGTAGCATCAGTGCCCGTCGTGTGTGGGTCATTGTGTAAGGTCCGGATGTGTGTTCGGTCGACGTCAGGTTTTCCCAATCGCCACATTTCTACTTTATTTGTTTCTGTGGCTGCACTAAATGGGACCTGGCGGATTGAGCGTCCTTTTGAAGCATCTATCTTTTCCTTGGCGTCCCCTGTAGAAGTAACAGCTTCCAGACATGCAGGGCTTAAAGGGGACGGCGTGGACAAGAGAAAAGTAGAAAGATTCACAATTTTTCGCATCTTTCATTCTGCAATTGTTCTTCGCTATTCTCCTCGTGTGTCCCCGCTCGTTGTTTACCGGCGAGCCTTTTGCAGTCTGCACTGTCTTTCCTTTTAGGTATTGGGTTAATATAGATAAGGGTAGATTTTTTTCCATTTGAATTCGCCTTGAAACTAAAGGTTTCTGACGCAGTTGTGTAGCTTGATGATTCTGCGAAGCATGCGTCATCAGTATGGCTCTTGCTCGTTGAAGGTGGTGTGCTGCTCAAGCACTTCCACCCTGCTGCACCCTCGATCTGTGCGGCGTAAAATTTTTATTAAGGAGTGCTCGCCACTTCGACACAGCTGTATCCTTTTTTTCTGATGCAAAGAGCACTGGCGGTAGTTGCAAGCCACTTCGACACAGCTGCATTCTTTTTTTCTGATGCAAAGAGCACTCGCGGTAGTTGCAAGCGAATGCACTAGAGGCGTGTAGTATGGGCCTGCAGTTCCTGCTGTTTGCTGGGAAGGTTTCGACGAACCAAACAAGCTAAATCCAAAGTTACCGCTGTAGCAGTAAATTACAAACTTAGGTTGGATACACAACAACTGAAGTGTTTGGGCATTTTCGTGCCCTACAATCCACTACAGCAGCCAATGGCGACCTCGTATAGACATGTCTCAGTAATTTGCCTGTAAAAGTGGAGTGGCCGAAGCAATCGTCAGTATTTGAGGTAGATCAACGCTATCAGTGCATCGCTGAATTCTGCCTACCCTTCGCTGTCGGCACGCTGAAGGAGAGTGACTGAATCCACTGCCGCAGTTATTTAACGTTGAGCCCCGCAGGGTGAAATCGGATTCGAGATGCTTCGTAGTGATGGCAGCTGCGCACATAACATGATAGGTCTCGGCCTGCTTCTCCTCTATTGCTGCATTTGCATCGGCGGAGCATATTCCGAAACATCGCACTTCGTTACTTTGAATGCTGAAAGGCCGCACATGCAAAGAGTTCCCTGGACTTAGCTGTAGCTCCCAGAAACAGCGGGGATCTTTCACGTGCCGTCCGTTTGTTGCGAATTGGCCACGAGCTTTTCTCACAGTGGCTAGTAAATGTATACGTGAGACGGCGTGCAGCCAGTGAAGCCTTTCTATTTACACTGAAAGACAATCTGAGCGTCCACCAACGCTTCAGTTAGCTTTCTGCAGCTTTCACTTGACTGGTGGTGCTGGTCCACGAATACGCCTCCAGACGTTAAATCATCTGAAGTGCTCTGTATGTGAAAATCCCGTTTACAATTTTCAGTGCCCTCTATGCAGCCGTACTTTTGCTGGGGCATGCAGGAACTTACAGCAGTCGCCACAGAGATTTACAGCAAGCCGACCCCAAGCCTTGGACGACAGTCCAAGGCTTCGGGTCGTCGTTGCCGCATTGGCGCCAGACCTGCGTTACTGTAATTCGCCTCTGCTACCCTGATTTGAAACTTGTTGATATGAAAAAGCTGTAATTGCGCCACTAGAAAAATCCTTGGTGAGCTCTGATAGCGTACTAGCACGGACGGTGCTCTGTGCCGTATCCAAGAAGACAATGACTGGAGGCCTGAACGTTTGTATTACCAGTTCCTAGCCTTCATTTTCAGTAGAAAAGATGGCAACAGCGGGTTCAAGAACTGCTGAACTTCGACACTTCGCATTTTTGAGAAAGCGTTCCTTGTTAAGGCATGAGCAGACATCCTGCCATCTGCATTCGCGTTTTAGCGCCGACCCAAACGCAAGGGCAGCATGACTACTAAAAATACAGGCGATGCTGCATTCCTCTTCTTGGCTTCCACTTCTAGCCCCGTGGTGAGTTGAGGAGTTCCAAGATACGTGTGCTACTTGTGCGAGTAAAAGGTGAACTTGCGGCCAAAACACGTACCAGTAAACCACCAAAACTGGATTCACCACGAACAAGCAGAATTGCATAATTTTAGATAAGCTCCTTGATACGAATATGTCCCATCTTCACTCGGAGAGGCAGCTACTAGCTTGAAACAGGTGTCATCGTTGATTTTTGCAGCAGCAACGCGTAGCTTGTGGTATCTGCGCCCTCTGCTTTCCCTCGTGATAAATGTATGCATGGTAAACACTGGCCTTCAAGAAGCAGCCTCAGCACTCGCATGCTAACGTTCCCACCAGCGCTGTCTCCTAGGAATGCGTTTAACTCGAGGACCTACAGCAGCAGGCTACCCAAACGCCACCAGCAAATAGGAAAGAAATCGTTTGTCCTAATGTTTAAGCCTCTGGCATTAAACGCTGAGCGCTAGGAACTTTCACCGAAAAAAGACTGAAAAGGAGACAATTAAGTCCCTCTTGGATCTGTGAAGCTGCCAGTGGATGGAAGACACAGCGAAGACAACGATTTGCCTGGAATGCGATAGTCCGCGTCTTCGCGTAGGGTCAGTATCAACCAATCTGTGGCTGTCTCTTACGTCCCCCTAATTTTACAGGAAGGACTGGCACGTTTGACACACCTTGCTACGAGCTCCTTGCGGTATCCTGACCCCAAAAGAAGCGCGGTTCGACACTCAAATTTGCACTTATATTCCACGTGGTCGACGTGCGTTGTGCATTCGCCTTTTGGTTGTCTTCCCCTCCATCTCACACATTCTCTGTTTGTGTGGGTGCCGAACCTCTCCTGGACGCTGTGTTGTCTGTATTCAGCGCTTCCTCTGCTGTTTCATTTTCCTGTCCTTGCATTTGTCTATCAACATTTGCGATGTCTAACAAGAGCGTGCCTTTATCTCATTGTTGTGTATTTTTCACAAGATAGTGTTCCTGTCTGCACCTCCCAACCAAAGCTTTTCTGCTGTTTTTGGTGTCCAATATTGAGCCTGTCTCCAGACCGCTGGCATATGCTGAATTCCTAGAAAAACAAAGGCCATCAGATTTGGCCCTCCATGATCCTGTACAAATGTTCACATGAAAAGCGAACTCAGCCCTCTTCTGCTAATGATTTAGAAGACGGACAATGTAACAGAGACTGGAGGAGACAGGACTCTTTCAATATTATCAAACTCTACCTGTCCACAATGACTTTTATGGGGAGCACTCCTTCACCTCCCATCACGATCCTACAAAATCACAAACATACCACGCTCAATAATTTTCAGCAAAGCAAAAAGAATATTGAGCAGCTCAGGCCCCAAAATGCAAACGTGTGCATATATTATACACCTTCGGCCTGCACCAAGGATATACTAACGGGAGACTCATATGCTCATATCTGTCTCATCGGCGCTGTATGTATGTATAGCGGCATCACGGAATGCGGCTCGCATTTTGCTCGGTGAGCAAACCCTTAATCCCCAAGCCCACTCGGTGAACTTTTTAGCTTCATCCTTTGACAGCGGTTCATCTCCATACATCTGCACGATATTGCAGAGTTGCTTTGCAGACAAATCACCTGACCCCTAAAACGACCACAACCCACAGCCGCAAACCCCACAAGCATGCAACCAGAAGAGCTAGTTTCGCCTGCACTGTGAAACACGTCATTACCTGCGTGTCGAAAAGCGCAAAAAATTGCTGAAAAGACTCAGCAAGGTCTTCAGCATGAAGGGCGCCTGTGAGAAAGGTTTGGAAAGCTTTGTAATCCACTTGGGTCGGCAGAGAGGCGGCGTCCTTTGAAGAAGGGCTGTAGCCCTGAGGAAGGGAGGCATTTGGGCACACACGGCTAAAGCATGCCACGATATGGATAATATAGAGAAGTAAAAACGGAAACAGAACAGGTAAAGTAACTGGGAGATGCGGTAGTCTTGAAGGGTTCAGTGTGCAGCATTCAACGTACCAGTTTCCTGGCAAAGTCTGCGGCCTGGGTGCTGCTCATAGTCAAACTTTTCTGCAGAGGAAGGGTAACACAACTGATAGATACAACACACCTGAACTCCTACGGCTAATGCATTAAGATACAACGCAACGATACAGCCTTGAAATGAGGCCCCAAGGCATGCGGTTATCATTGCTGTTGGAATTGCAGCTGCTTTAACTGCTGCTTATGCTGCTTTACAGTGGACTATCGATACACCTGGTACTTCCGGTGTCACTTTGACCTCCCACATCAAGATAAGAGCATACTGCATTTGCTGCAACGACAGCTACAACAAAACAACATAAAACCCACTATTAGCCGTAACCGCGCCAACAACGACAACGGCAGCAGTACATGCAACGCCGGAAGCAGCAGTGGATGTGCGAGCCACATAACCCTTCTTGCATACCCCTGCTGCCTTCTCGAAGTCAAGTTGAATGGCAGACTTCGGAGCTCCCTTGTCTTCCTCTGCCTCTGTGGTATCGGTGAGAATATCCTCCGCTGGCTTTTGTTCTACTGCTGCTGACGTGGCTTGTTCCTCTTTCTTGGCTGCTCCGTCTGCAACTGTCTCCCTTGGTACTTCCAGTGGGGCCAAGTTGTTAATATCGAAGTTTGGGGGAAACCTTGTGTACACTGTTCCCAAGTGGTTTATTCCGCGGGCTCTGCAAGTCCCTTCTATGACTATATGCTCCTGTTGAAGCAACACAGGAACAGACACACCAGTGCCACAACGAACACAGTGGCTGCTTCAACTATTTCAGCAGAACGTAAAGGTGCGCTGCCACTTTCACCTGCACTTTTCTTTGTTTCATGACAGAAGAAAGCAAGCATTCAAGCATCATGTACCTGTAGCTGCGGGTCGAAGAAGAGCTCCAACTCATGACGGTCGACGTTGCAATTCATTCGCCGCGCGATTTCCATCTAACCACAGAAGCTCACAGATCCACACACGAGCACCTCTAAGCCTAGAAACTAAGTAGATCCTAGTACCTTCACTGCAACACCCCTCACGTGCCACACCCTACGGGAGTGTAGCAGAGAAATGCACGTAGGTCCTGCTAATACCCCCACCGGGTCCCTCTCTACCCACACAAATGAGTGGTACTCCAAACTCTTTTGGGAGCTCCTACAAACACCTAAAAGGCAGTAAAGGATGTGTCTGAGTTGCAGCAACACTACTTGCGTTTACCCTGAGCTGCTTGACGTAGCAGGTGCTGGGGACTCGGACCATGAAAGGAAGTTCCTCCCTTGCTGTTTTCTTGATGCAGAGGCACTTCGCTTCAGCTGCAGAAAAAGACAGCAAGAGCGGGAATTCACGGGAAAATCACAATAAAGCTCCACTGGAAGTGTTATACAGACGGAAGCTCATGCGGAAAGTTTGAAAGTGTTTGAAGGCCATCAGATTTAGACTAAATTACGCTTGACTTCACGATCATCTTGCACGAAAACGAGAGCAAAAGAGGGATTTGGTTCTAGATGCCCGAATAGTGCATTTCCAAAGTGCACTGTTCGGGATCTAACGCTTGCGCTGTCTCGCTGCTCACGTTTAACAACAACAACATTGATATCGAACTTATGCCGCTTTGAAATCTGAACCTGGACCTTGGATAAGCCCATTGTGTTATAAAACGTCAGAGGACGCTCTTCTTCCATCTCTGTCTCCGCGTTCTCCCCGTACTTCAGTATCCTTTACACGCTCACAAAAAACTAAGCGCTGAGTTATGCTGATTTGGATCAAACATCAAGGCTCGTGAGGCAAAGCCCTGAAACACAGATGCTGCTCTTCCAGACCTGGACTTAATGGCCCTAAGCCTGCAGCGGAGACCCTTATGCCTTCAGTTCAACTGTTGGGTCTAAACTGTGGAGATACGACCCTAACATATTTAAACCCTGAACTACTGGCCGTTACAGTGTTGCGTTTGTCTCACATGAGGTCAGCTGGTAGATTTCTCCCTACTTCTTTCAGTCGCTCCGAGATCTTCCGCTTGACGTCAGACACAGTAACGTGCTGAGGAACCCTGTGAAGGTTCATGAGTGGCTTGCCCGCCACATCTATCAAAACCACAGTGCTATAATCTCCTCCAGTTCCCACCATTGACGCCCTGGAGGTCAATGGCTGGCGGGTTGGGGAGGCATCTTTGGCTGACATCTTCGGCACAGCTTATGAGCCTGAGTGGATTGGCTGACACTGTTCTAGGGATACCAACAATCCCACTGACGACAGGCGGGATAGCAGCAGTGGCAGCTGCAGCAGCAGCTGGCTCTTTTCTTGCTGCTCCAAAGAAACTCAAAGAAGAGCTCAAACGAGGAAGGAGGATCCCTGCATGTACTGCCGCAGCGTATTTTGGCCCTTCTGTATGCAACAGCGTAGATAGTTTTGCTCCAAGGGTTGATGGCACCGTATTTCCAGCAGTTGCTGCTGTATTTGCTGGCGAGTTTGATGCTCCTGAAGTCGCTACGCGAAGAAAGAAAGTTTTACCGGTACTACTCGCAACTCGTCAAGAGAATGTGCTGCAGACAGTGTCGTAGTCCGTGTAAGAAGTGCTTCCTCTCCGAATTCCTCCGTTGCCCTTCCTTTGTTTTTCTGCAACTCTCGATGGAAAGAAGCGAATTGAGGCCATACAAGGGGTCCAGCTAGAGTTTGGCCTCTTTGGGCTTACGGTGTGGTTCGACCCTCGAAAATATAGCAGACAGCTGGTGTTTATGTGATCTTTTGCATGGAGAGCTTTTCCTGCTGATGCTGCTCTTGTTGCTGCTGCTTGGTTTTTGGCTCGGGCTCCGCAGCAGCTGCTGCGTATCGACTAGTCAACGCAGCAAAAGAACACGAACCCTTCAGCCGTGGTTAATTCTACATATGCTTATCGTTATTTGAAAAAAATGGCTTCAAGCAATAGCGCGAAACGGTCATAATTCGCCTAAGTCCCTATCTGGAACGGCAGACCAGCCACAGTGACGCATTGTCATCGAGGCTGTGAACGGTTCATTGCTTGCGTTTGGCGAACCTTCCCGTCCGTTAATATTTTTTTCGGGAACATAAGAGAAACTAATTGTATCTCTGAGGGTTTAGTACTAACCTTCCCATGTTTTTTCATTGTTCGGCCTCCACAGGTACTGCTTCAGCTACGCTGGCACAACTACCCCGCAGTTCTAACTTGTTTTCCCTTCATATCAGTTGTGGTCCACACACATGGAATTGTATTCACTCAAGTGCAATGATTTTCATGTTCACAGTCACAGATCAGAATAGATCAGAAGAGGTCACAGCTAGGAAAATCAGGACACCGCGTCAACTGAAGTGCTCAATATTGTTTGTGTGCTGAATGGTCTACAGGCGGTTGTTAGAGCTTGTTCTCTCTTTTGGCACCAGAATCGCAATGTGCCACTTACAAAAAGAAATAGTCCCGTTATAGTGAATCTAAAGAGGAACTCCGAGACATTTTCTTGGACGATCTGGCTAGCTGCGAGCATTTGAAGTGAGCAATAATTTGGTATTTCTGTGGCCGGAAGGGCTGGTGAAAACTACGTTCCATCGAATACAACTGTAAGGAGAAAGTCCCTCCATGGTTTGAACAGCCAGTAGAAGAAACTGAAGAGGGTATAACACATCTGCCAGTACACACATTGCATCGCGTGTGCGCTCCCCATCAAGCGCCCTGTGCGCAGGAGGCTAGGACCTGATGGTGTAGCCTATACCTTTCAGCTCGCTAGTGCACTTCCAGTTAAGTGTTGCTAGGCCCTTTGTAACCTCGCCTCGACGCAAGCACAATCAGGATGGTCTCCGCCAGCGGGAGCCGAAAATGGGAGCCAGTCCCCGTACATTTGCGACCGGTACAAACAATTATGCGTCGGTATGCCACTCTGCATGTAGATATGAGTGTTTAGAAAAAGGTAGAACAAAAGTCCCCAACACAGGAATGCACACTTCGTACTCCAAAATTCCTCTTCATGGAGCTGCTAATTGGCTGCTCGGTAGTTGGAAGCGCTTACTCGAAGCAATTTTCACTCATGCTTCTGCAGCGTTGCCGCGACAAAAAATTCCAGGCCTCCTATCGTGTCGGTGTGTTGCCAAGCGCGAATCCACAGTTGATGCTGCTTTAGATTCCCACCGTGGACACCAGGAAGCGCTGTCACCAGTTCTAAAATGTTGAATCTGCCTCTTCCGGCCTCTAGAGCCAGCAGCCGGCAATCTTTAAGGTGAAAGGCAGTGACAACTTGCGGGTCGAAGGGAACTCTTGCTCTCTTGATAGTCTGTAGGCTGGAAATCAGCCAAATGCACTTCCTCCGGCATGGGGACAATGGCAGTGACTCTAGGCCTTCTGCCAGCACTTGCCTGGTGAAAGGCAATGACAACCGTTAAAGGCGAAAAGTACTACACATATCAATCCAAGTGCTGCTGCTTACACTCTTCAAGTGCTCGCCTGGATACTTCTCAAAAGACATACTGCGACCCCACAGCTTGCCAGCCTGTTCATGCCCGCATGAGGACTTCAAGCTCCTGGAAGACTTGCTATCCTCAACTATACCTGAGAAGCTTCCTATTGCTCACCGAATTCACGTCTTCGTCTGCTCAATAATATTCTAATTCCCTAACCTGTCTCTACACTCGGAAGCTGCACCACCATATGCTGCTGACAACTTCCAACTCCCGCAACAGAGAAGAACACAAATCTCCACCGTCCACTGTTGCCTATAGATGTTGCTTTTTCTGTCTGTGCCAGCGGCAACCGCAACACTGCTGCCAAATGCATTCGCGGCCCTACAGGTTTCTGTTTCGCCTCTGTCCCAACACATCAGCAGCAGACGCAGCATCTGTAACTGCTGCTTCTGCTAGTGCTCTGGCAGTGGCTGTGCCTCGCTGCTCTTTTGGAGACAGCTGCGCAGTGCAGTATTCACAAAGCTATCTCTGCGACTGTTGAACGGAGCCAGCAAACACTATGCTGGCGGGAGCTGCATGTACGCCGACTAGCTAATGGCCAATCTGTGTTCGTGCGCAGCAAAACTGACATCAGCTAGCTAGCTCTCCTGCTGATATGCCGGTTAACTAGCAGACTACTCTGTAGGTCAGTTAGCTGGCCCGCGAGACCACCTCGTTAACTCGCAAGATGCGACTGCCGACCCTAAGTAGACTGGATAGCCGACAAGTTCGGCACCTCGCGGATGAGCTGGCTAACCAGCCAGTCGGTAGCTGGCCACCTAGACAATGAAGGAGCTGGCCGCCGCCGTCTGCATCCATCACGGCAGCGCTTTGCAGTCGTCAAGGAATGCTTGGATCTTCTCGGCGATAGATTCCTTGTACTTCTGCAATGCCTCATCAACCACTGCACGATCAGCAGCAACAGCAGCAACGGGAGGAGAGAAATTAACATGGTCTGCTGTGGCGCACCGGCAACACATTCCCTGCTAGTCAGCTAGCTGGCAGAGCCGAATGTAAGCTGACGAGGGGATCTGAAGGGTACGCAAGCGTACCCGGCTTGAATAGGGGTGAAGGGGCTTTGCTCAAAGACACGGAACTGCCCTGTAGCCAAGACATGCCACTACCGTCTGCACTGCTAACATCGGGCAAAGTCAGAGTCCCTGACAAAAAAGATCCAGGAAAGCAGTAACACATACGCATGTTCATAATCCGGAAAGATGCACATCTGCACGGGGGAGGAGTAAGCAGAGCGGCCGATGCAAAAACGTAAGGGCAACCTCCAACAAGAATGAAAGAAAGAAACCAAAATCAAATGAACAGAGAAGATAATCCACAGAATCATGCTAATGGACCAGCGCAGCACTGCAACTACGGCAACCGTCTGCTCCTAAAGCAGTTCTCGAATGTACCATCCTATCTCGTCGCACTGCTGCTTTGATACACACTGCAAAAGACGCGGTAACCACAACGGAGCTGCTGCTTAAAGCCGTTGTCTTACCCTTTGACTCGTAGCTACCTAGCGACTCGCTCACGGCGCTGCTCTCTGGTGGCAGTCCTAGTGCGCCCCCACTGCTGCAGCTGATGTTGAATTTCACGCTGCACTTCATGTCAAAGAAAACTCTTCTGCTGCCCCTTACAACTGCCAAGTGCGCATCGCCGGAGACCTCCCCCACTGAAGTCGTCTGAGTTGCAAAAACACCCCAATGGCCAACGTGTTTACGGCGTTGCGAGCAGCACGCAGATCTCCGCCAGACACAGCAAATAGCACGTTCAGGAGTGAATAAAACGGAGGTGAAAACAGCACCACGCGAAAGAGCAGAAACCTTGTAGAAGCAGCAGCAGGCCCAAAAGCCCTGGACATCGGCAAACAGGCGTGCGCAGCAGCAACAGCAAAATGCCAGACCTCGACTTTTGTAGAGAGACACCCCTTGAAAAGTTCCTTCATCGCTGCGTCGTCCTTCAGCCCGCCATCCTTGATCGCCTCTGTAGCCTTGCGACAAACCTGCGCAGGACACAAACCATTGCTCTTGCCAACAATCCACACAGCTGAACAGCGACCAATCCGTAGCCCTCTCAGTCCCAAAGTTTAGGTCTCGCGCTTAAGTTTTCATTCCATCGCTGCATAGGACCATCCAAATCAACCGCGAGCCCAGCGGAGTGAGATCTAAACTCAGTGCTCTGCATTTTGAACTCACCTCAAGAAGTGCCTCGGGAGACGCATTGGTCGAACCACCGCATTCAGCAGAAGCCTCCTGAAGTCTTTCTGCAAATCGAGTTCGTGCCCACGGACTAACGTCTGCAACGTATGAACACATGAAACAGCAGTGCAACTGCTGTGTAACTCCAGCAGCAAATATCCTGGCACCTGGTTGACCGGCGATGAGTGCAGAGAACGAGCGCGGCCAACTGTTCTTTATCACCCAATGTAGCAACAGCAGCAGCATACGCCTTACCTTTCTCTTCGTAGGTGGTCCCCTTTGCGTTCCACTGCGAAATGCTCTTTCCTTCTGGAGACTGCAGCAGCAGCACATCAGCAAATCGTGTGACGGCGTAACTATGGAGCATTCATGGCGTTGGTCCCTGCATGCCGTTCCACGCATCCTCGGTTTACCTGTTATACCTCTCAGCTTACTGTCACCAAACTGCCGGACCTCACAGACTCAACCCTAAATCCTCATGCCTTGCTAACTCAAAAATAAAATACAGACACTCCCTCCGTGCCGCTAAAACAAAAAGCAGCCAAAGCGTTTGCACTAGTTCGCGACTGTCTATCTCCTTGAAAAACAGCTATCTAAAAGCTTCCACCTTTCGAAGTTAATGACAGGCCACGATCTGATTCAAATTTGTGCAACTAGAGTACCTTTTCAGGCTCGCCGCCGGCTGCTCCAGCTGACTGAGGGGAAGGCGTTGGAGACGCTATTTTGGTTGGTTTGTTCTGAGCATTAAGTCTCTTCTCTTCTTCCGTTAAATCGCGACGGAAGTAGCAATATCCCATTTTTTTCGTCTCCTGTACAATTGCTGCATCCTCCTCATCCAGCTCCATCACACTGCTGCTGCTGCTGCTGCTGCTGCTTGAGGAATCGCTTTTGTTCTTCCGTCGCTGCAATCCGCCCTCGGGGGTGTTTAGCTCTGAAGTAGCAGTAACACAAATGGGCAGTAGCAGCCGCTGTGCAGCAGTAAGGGCAGCCGCGGCCACAGCACGCCAGCAAAAGCAGCGTTTGAACATCATAAGGAGTCTGCATCTAAACAAAATAGCAGTAAGAGCAGCCGCGGCCACAGCACACCAAAACAAACAGCGTTTGGACTCCTGCATGCAAATAAATATACGAACGCGAGGGAAGAAGTTACAGTCACGCAAGGACACATAAGCAGACTCAAAGTGATGCAGACACAGCGGTAGCCTTCTACGAAAAAATTGGTGAAAAAGCAACAGTAGACTCTTGGCCCTGCTCATGCACAACAACAATGCGGACCGGCACGTCATGCTGACGCCGACTAGCTGCAGGTACTCACTGGCTTGCTGTTTCTGTTTCTCCTCTCTTTCCTTCTCTTCCGCTTCCTTCTTTTTCTCCAGCCAGGTCTCAAACTCCTCCTCCTGCTCGCCCTTCTCTGCAAACAAACCCCAAGGCACAAACTTGAAATGCTGAAGAACACTCTGCAATCATTAGGCAAAAATAAGATGCGAATATTTGATGAGACAGGCACAAGCAGCAAGGTTAAACAGTTACTCAAAAACTATCGAAGACGAACGAATGACGCAATCGCAAAGCGGGGCAGGTTCAATCCACAAAAAGATGCATGTGGCAAAAAATGCCATAAAACTGGTGTATACTTTCCCGTGCAGTCTACACGGGAAAGCATGCACCAAGACATGAAGGCTGTAGAAAAAAGGACACGTGCAGAAGAATGTGGAAAAATGAGAGAAAGGAAGCAAGGCGAGTAGTTGATTGCAAATCCACTGCTGGCCGCACACGCTGCTGCAGTCGGCCTCGCCAAGCAGGCAACGGCAGCAGAAGCATCAGTTAAAGCATCAAGGAATGCATGCCTTTTCTTGCCGCCATGTCTTTCTCCCACTCTGCTCTCTTCCTGGCTCTCTCTGCTTCTTCTTCTTTCTTCCTCCTCTCTCTCGCCTCCTCGCGGTCGTCATACAGTCCGCTAGCCCGGCTGAACAACCCGCTGTAGGCCTAAAGCAGTAGCAGCAGCGCCAAAGAAGCAGTGAAAAACGCAAGCCCATGGACTCTGAACTAACGAGCATCACTGCACATTCAAAAAAAAGAGCTCATTTTGCGCACTCAATTGCATGCAGCGCAGCCACATTAACTGACGAGACTGTCTCAAGCCCGCTACACAGAAAGTGTACGCATGCACTGCGTCGATTTGTACCTTCTTGTCTTCTGCCTTTGCTGCCTGTATTTTTTCTCTGATTTTCTGCAGTTCCTTTCTTGCCTCGGCATTCGCCTTGTCAATGGCAATTACCTGAACAGACACATACAGTCGCCACTGCTTACGCCGTCATCGCTACTCTGTTGTTGCCACTCCTCCTGATCCTGCTGGACAGGCCGACATTGTAGCTTCTTTCGCTCAAACTCACTGCCATCAGATCGTCTTTGGCGTCGCTGAGTTCCCCCAAGTTGCTCTTGGCCACAGCTCGCCTGTACAGCGCCTGCAGTCATCACACGAGCTCGAGCACCCAACGGCCATCTCGACCCAAGCGAGCAGCCAAAGCCCGTGGGGGTGAGGTACACGGCGCTGGCAGCCAGGCCAGGGCCACACGCTGCTCAGCTCGAACCAGCCAAGGCTCTTCGGTCTCATCTGCGTAGTTTCATGACCGTTTGCTCCCACATCTCTCAAGTTCCACCTCACCTTTGGGTTCTTCGGCTCCGTGGCAAGGACCTGGTTAGCCGCCGTTATCGCCTGCTGCCATCGTTCAAGCTTCAAACAACACATGCAACTGTTGCTGCTGAGCTGTACAGACACCGCAATGGCGTCAGAATCCTGCGAACCCTTCACGTGCTTCACTCCTGCCTGCAGCAAAAATGCCCATTGCACCGGCGGCACACATGGCACCTGTTTCGTGTTCCTTGCGCAACTGGCGATGTTATGTAATTCACCCCTATCTCTGCCTGCGGTGATATCCCATCTCAGGCACCAACAAATGCCTGTCGCTTTCCCCAGACCCAAATTAAGGCTGGTCGCGTCTATAGTGGAAAACCAGCAGTTGTGACACCGAAAGCAAGGGTTGTTGCTGTAGCCGCAGCAGTGTGGGCCTATCCTGACCTTGTACCTCTCCAAAGCTTGCTCATATTGGCCTTCCTTGAACAGAGCATTGCCTTCGTCCTTAAGATTTATGGCCGCTTGCAGCTTTTCAGCAGGCGACATCAACTCGTCTGTTGACATTGAGCTGGCCTCGCTGCACGTGTCCTCATCACGGGGTGTCCGTGGAGGGCCTCCCGAGGGCCCTGGCTGGCCCTCCTCATCCATCGGCGCCCCACTGGGGGGCCCCACGGGCAAGGGGGGGGCGGGACTCGGTGATATCCCTTCTGAAAGGCCCATTGTCATCTCTAAGACCTGAAGCTTAGAGTGTGGAGTATTCAAACGGTTAGAATGGCCTTCCGCGGAGACCCTTCGCACCTAATGTCCCCAGAACAGCACCAGCAGCAGCAGCAGCCGGAAATGAGGCGTTGGTGCGCCAGACAAAGGGTGTCCGTCCTGTGTAAAAGGAGAAAAACAACCTCCTCTTTTATTCTAAAAAGCCAGAGACATAAACCCTAAGCCCTAAAGGCTAAACCTAAAGTACAGGAAGCACAGCAGCAGCCCCAACGCGGGGGCGTGCTGCGGCTACTGGGGGACCTTGGAGCGGCACGGGGCCCCCCAGCATACCGTCTAGTCTGTAACGTACTAAAAAGGTCAAGGCGAAGTAGTTAAACTTTAAAGAAATGTGCTGCGAGCTCAATCAGGCATTAATGGTAACAGCTTAGCACAACTGTCCTGGTTGCTGCTGCAGTTGCTTTTGCAGCAGCAGCAGCAGCAGTAGCCGCTGCAGCAGCAGCGCTGGGACAGCTGATGATGCATTTGGCAGCAGCATGCTTGTACGAATTTCGTCACCTTTCGTCTCCGAGTTTCTTATTAACATAATTAAGAGCGGGAAACACACCATATACAGGTTTTGGCAAGTCTGATCATCACCCCACTGTTGCCTTTGCTGCTGCTAGTGCAGCTGCGCCCGAGACCCCAGGGTAGTTGGCCTGGACGTCTTATGGCTGGCCCTAGAAGACTTTGTCTCAGCATAAAGGACTCATATTTGAGTCTCTAAGTGTCCACAGAGGATTTATAGCCCGCAGAAGGAACGAATTACAGGGGGCCCCCACGACGACAAGGGGGCCCCCTGTCGAGACTTCCCACTTTAGCTAGCCAGGTGGCGCCTTCGCTCCTTTTAGCTTCTGGCCGCTCAAGGCTGACAGGTCGGCCGAGCTGTGCAGCGATGTTCTAGCCACAGCCCTCATGTGAAGACTGAGAGTCGAAGGTCCGGGGTTTTGGGTCTACTGGCTCCTTAGCGCCTGGCCAACATGGGGAGGCTAGACTGGGCTTGCTCGAACAGCAAGGAGGTATGAATGCAAATCCGTTCCCTGACAGCCCGTTCCCTTGAGTACTCAGGTAAAGACCTCTTCGAGTAGCGGCACTTCTTCCTCTTCTATGGCTTACCTCCCGTAGGACTCTAGGACACAGAGTCTGGCTTGAACTTGACACTTTGCTGTGTGTGGGGGGACCATATGTGCATGCAGCTGGCCAGATTACAGCTGGAATATAGCGCCTTACAGGTGAGCGAAGGCCCTCAAGATGCCACTAACCACAGTCCCACCCTGGGGGCGTAAGGCCAATTTTCTTTTGCTTACGTTTCTCGCTGGCGCTCTCACGAGTCCCTGCGTGCACCCTCCTTTTGGGCAGGTTATGACATAGCTAGGCTTCTTTGGACTGTTGCGTATGGACAAACTTTTTATTCTTGCATGAAGGACTCACAGTTCGGCGTTTCTGCGCGTGCAGCAAACCACCAAACTCATGGAGGTTGTGCCGTGCCCCTGGCGGCCGGGAACTGACAAAGAAAGGCAGCTTCTTCAGGCCCAGGCGGAGTCTGTGAGCCTCGTACAGAAGGTACTGAACACTGCACAAGCTGGGTGCAGCTGCGAGTTAATGGTGCTTTGGATTTCGAACGGGCGGGCTTCAAGTTTAGAGCAAAGGCCGCAGCAACGAAAGCAGCACTTGCACCAGCAGAAAGGGCATCGGAGGAACGTAAAATACACAATTCTCCGCGGCAGCGCTCTTGCTAGAAGCCTCTCAAGACCGTCAGAGGCCAGGCGCGCAGTACATGCCAGCCAGCTCTCCTGCTTCAGTAGAAGCAGCTTGGCTTCCTTGGGCCTCTCTGGAAATTCCAGCAGCGACACTGCTGCGGAAAATGCAGCGTTTCGTGTTTCGCTATGCTGCTGCTGCTTGTGTTGTTGCTGCTGCTGCCAATCCCAACAGCGGCGACTGCTTTGAATGGCTGTTGTCAGTGGCCTCTGGCTGTCTAGCCAGCATTGGAAGTATGTTGCCAGGTTATTTGAGTGCCAGAGTGTTGTGTGCGTTTCAGCTGAATGAATCTATTCGAGCGCAGAAGAGACTGGCGGGAGAGAAGGGCAGACTGTGGAGAGCGCTGCTGGAGGAGAGATGCAGTAGCTGCAACAGCAACGAGGAGAAACTCCAGCGCGCTGTTGCTGCTTGCCATGCGCACCAAAAGGAAGCAGAGGCAGTGGGTGTTTAACCATGGTATCAATCAGAGCTTTTTCTTCCTCGCCACCTTTCGTTAAGAGTCTCTTACAGCTCCCATACTTTCTGTGGGCACGTGCTGTGTGCACCTGCCTCCGCTTGACATATATTGATGCATTCTTGGTTATGTTGCTGCCACTCAGCACTGTGGCCATGCATGCTTCGTTGCCAGGGCATTTCCTTTTTTGTTTTTTCGCCTTTTCATTGGTCTCACCATCAGGCACAGCGCCGTTTAGCTGCCCTCGAGGAGGACAAGCACCGGCTGGAGGCCGATCTGGCAGCTTTAGTGCATTCATCCCAACAGCAGCAGCAGCAGCAGCAGCAGCAACAGCAGCAACAGCAGCAACAGCAACAATTGCTGCAGGAGCTTGCTGAGTCTCAGGCTCAGGTAGCTGCGCTGAAAGGTCAGTCGGACGCATTGGAGCATCTCGTGAAAGAGTCAAGGTGTCGGGTACGAGAACTGGAGGCACTACAGCAGCAGCAGCAATTACTGCTACAGCAGCAGCAAGAGCAGCACGAGCAGCAACAGCAGCAACACCAAAAACACCAAGAACAGCTTCTGGACCACCAAAAGCAGCACCGGGAGCAGCAGGCTCTGTTGGAGGCCCTGCGGAGCGAAGCAGAGGCTTTGAAGGTGAAGTGCGCTGCTGCTGAATTGCGGGCCCAGATGAAAGAGGAAGAAAGGAATAAAGACGTACAGACATTTCAGACGATGTTGCAAGCAGCGGAACAGAGAGCGGCTCAATTGCAGGAAGCGCTTCTGCGCAGCCGTAGTCGCAGCAACGGCAGCAGCAGCAGCAGCTCAGGAAGTTCACCTCTGGGGTCTCCTCCCATCGGGTACAGCCCCGGCAGCAGTCCCAGCTCAAGGAGACGCCGGGACAGTGTTCAGAAGGTCCTTCAATCAGCCGATGTCGCCCTTGCGAAAGCGGTGGTTTATGTGCACCGCAGCAAACTCAGCAGCGACATGGCGGCAAGGGGAGTGGATAACGCAATTCGCAAAAATGGCCCCAAAGATAACGCCACAAGTAAAGAGAGCGCAAAACAGGGCCCCTCGCACCCTCCAAAAGGTAAGAACGAAATGCCTTAAGGACTTTGTGTGTGAGCTTGTCAGCAGCACTACTAGAAGTAGCGAAACTGGAACCAGCTATTCAAGCAGCATTAGCAGCAAGCGAATGGCATGTGCATTCCTGTGAGCGTTCTACAGGAGAGGAACTCGTCCCGCCAGGGGCTGGTTTCACCAAAAGCCCCAGAGAGGGATCACTCAAAGCTCCGCCTTCTTCGCCTCCAAATGCAACCGAAGCGGATTTCGCGGAGCCGCCCACTGCGGGTCTTTCCTCACCAGAGGGCAAGCACTCGAAGCCTCCACAGAGCTGCACACCAGCACCACGGGGCCGCGAGAGTGAAGGAAGCTCAGCTCAGGGGAGCTCAGAGCATAGCAAAGCGGATTCTTCTCTACCCGTGCGACAAGCACCTGCAAAGGGGTCTTCAGAGCAAAATCCAGTGGCACCTGTGAAGAAGCATTCAGGGCCTCTTTCAAAGAAAGAACCAGGACCCCCAGAAACCCATTCAAGTGGTCCCTCAGAAAATCTTCTACAGGGAATTTCCAAAAAGTATCCAGGGGGCGGATCAGAGAAGCATTCAGAAGTAACTTCAGAGAAGCATTCAGGAAGTCCCCCAAAGAAACTCCCAGGGGCTCCTCAAAAAAAATACCCAGAAAACGCCTCAAAGACATCTTCAAAAGGCCCACCAGTGAAGACTCAGGGGGACGCCCCAGAGAAACCCCAAGAAAAGGCTTCAGAGAAAAGCTCAGCGGTGCTCATAGAGAAGCGTCTATGCCCCCTTCCAAAGAAATCTCAAGGCGCTTCTCCAGAAAAAGGAGCCGAAGACTCACTAGAAAAGAGTCCAGGGGTTCTGAAAGAGGCCCAAGGGTGTCTTCCAGAAAGGCCTCCCCAAGACCAGAAGTTTTCACCGCCAACAAAACAGCCTTCTCCAGAGCAGCAAATGGAAGGCTCCTCTTCAGCGAAGCTGGGCGTGTCAAAGCCTAGCCTTGGCGGCCCTGGAAAAGTGAATGGAGGCGCTCCTGTTCTTTCCTCAAAACAGTCCACTACGAGCAAAGAGGCGCAGCCAAAGTCAAGTGCTAATATACCAAATGCAAAAGGTGAGCCACCTCCCAGCGGGATGAGTCCACCCCCAGGAAAGGTGGGCTCACCCACCAGGGGAACCCCTCAGCCTTTGCAGCGCGTTGAGGGCTCGCCCAATGTACTCGCTGAAAAGCCCCCTGTGGGCGCAGTGGGGCCCGTGAGCGACAAAGAAAGCGGCTTACAGCAAGACGGCAAGGCCGCGCCTCCTCCTCTGAAGGCACCAGTGGGGCCGAAAGAGACATGTTCAAATGTGCCAGAGGAACAAACCCTCCCTGTGGCTTTGTTGCAGCAGATGGGTCTCCCAGCAAACGAAGCAGCAGGAGCAGCAACAACAGCAACAGCTGCAAAAATAGCAACAACGGCGACAGCGGCAAGTGCAACAACAACAGCAACAGCGGCAAAAGCAGCAACAGCAGCAGCAACAGCAGCACACGGGCCTCCGAAAAGTCCCAAGCCGTCGACTCCCGAATCGACCAGCCGTCTTAGGGACTCAGCAATAGTGGCATTTGGAAAGGCGAGCCTTGACACCAAAGCCCTTGCTGCAAAGAGGCGTGCATCTGCCGCAGTTGCTGCTACGTCCACTCCCGGTGATGCTAGGGCTGCTGTTGTTCCCCACGAGGCTTCTGCCACGGAAACCCGAAAGATGGGCGAGGGATCAACTGGAATGTCTGCAACGTCCGGCAAGGAGGGGCTCCTGAAGACAGGTCCGAAGGGTCAGGGACTTCCTGCTGCTCTCCCTCCGCAGCCTAGCGGGGACCTCCCGGAAGGGCTTTCACAGAAAAGCTCCGTCAGCAAGGTGGGCCCCCCCAAGCCGTCTAATTTAGCGAGGCCTCCCGGTGGGCCCTCACCGCCTCAAGCTCTAGGTGGGCCCGCACCACCCCAGGCCCTTAGGCGGCACTCAGAGGAGAGACAGACTGGCAATCAATCCGAGTTACCTGACGTTCCTCCTGGAACCCTTCTAGAAGGACCTTCGCCGAAGCCACAAATACCCCGGTTACATCTAAATACTTTAGGGGGGAAAATCCCGAAAAAGAACCCCTAAACGCGTTACAGAGGCGTTTTATTCCTACTGAGCCTTGAGAACTGCCATATGGATGCCGAAGCGCCGCAGTCCACCACTGCCCCCCCCCAGTGGCTGTCCGCAAGGGCAGGCGCAGAGCCCTCTGGAGATTGAGCGTAGTGCAAACAAGTCGGAGTCTGAAGAGGGCTCCTGTGTCTTGATAAAAACGGGACTTCTTCAAAGAAGCGGTGCACCTTGCCTGACAGAAAGGGACAGCAGCGCGGTCAGCTAACTCACGAGATTCACATTTTTGTGCATACACTGTGGAGGCAAACCCTGTTAGAGGTGTCAGCTGCCGTAAGCACTACTGCAGACTATCGGTTAAGGCTGTTAACCCTAGAATGCAACTGGGGGCCTCATATATATGTTGAAAGTACTGTTGCCTCTGGCTGCAGCCAAAAGTAGTGTCATCGGCACCTGGGAAGAAACATGAAACGATGAGGTGCTTTTCGTAGCAGCTTGAGTCTGTTTCTTCAAACTCAAAATGTGGAAAGAGGGGCCACTCTAAAGGGCCCTCTAAGGAGATGTGCGATGTCACTTGGACGGTTTCACAGCAGAAGAGTGCACCTTCCTTAGTATTCAATCAGCTTCCTTAGTACTCAGTTACTGAAGAAGAGAAGAGCTGCTACGAAGGTCCTGTGCGTGAGACAGTGCCCTCTGAGCTCCATAGGAGAGCCCAAGGCTCTCCATCGAGACCCTCCCTCGCAGACGATAGCAGGGAGCTCCCCTGCTCTGGAGTAAAGCCTCACTGCGGATAGATCTTTACTCATATGCTCTTGGGGCATCCCTTTTGTAGCGCTCATGTTCGCATCGATACCCCAAGGGCCCTCACGAAGGCACATCAGACGTCTACAGATAGACATGCAGGCCTTCTGGGCCCCTACGCGTGAGATCACTTGCCCAAACACGATCACCCTTCACGGCCCATCAGTGTAGATGGGTGGTTTGCATACTATTGAAGACAGGAAGACAGTCTTTCACCAAGCAGCAACGAAAACAGCTGCAGCAGCAACTGCAGCTGAACTGCATTTGCGCTGTTCGATCTCGGGCTTGCCATATTCGTCGCATGCGTGCACTTGAAGGTAGAAGTGCTGCCACGGCTGCGGCTGCTGCTGCTTCTGCTACTGCTCTGAACAGCAGTCTGCACGAGCAGTGAACACCAAGGCAAGCCCGATGGTATAGTCCAAACACCTTCAGCGGCTCGCTAGGCCAGCTGTAGGTCTAAAGCTCCCTCTTTAATCCACCTGAGTGGCTTCTATGGAGCTCTCCAAACCTACAAACTCTCGAAAGCGCTTCGGCTGTGGGTGTCCCCCACATGGTGAAGAACGCGTCGCCGGGATGCAGATATAGAAGTCTGTTCTTCTTCTAGAGGCCTTTTCTTGACAGAAGAAGCTGAGAAGTTCGTGGGTGAAGGCAACCGTCTGGGAGGCCCCTGAGGGAGACCCCCAGCACATGGCACCAGGCTCTTCCAGGGGCCTTCAGTGGCCAGGAGCAAAAAGCTTCCAAAAGCCTCAAAAGAGGGCTGCAAGCGTTGCTGCTGCAGTGTCTTCTGCAGTGCAGAAGCAGCAGATGCTTCGGCTGGCCTGAGCGCTTCCAGCAAAATGCTGATGAGGGTGTTGTGCGCAAGGGGCTTCTGAGGCGCCCTTTCATAGAGCGCATACACCCTTTGGGCCCGGCGATGCAGCAACTGCAATAGCAGCAGCATGCCGACGGCTTCTCGTGGGTGCAAATTCTTGCCGCGTAGATCTGCAGCAGCAGCAGCAACACGGGCAGCCCCCTGGCTCGGGAATGCCCGCCGCAGCACAAGAGCACGTGCTTCTCTGTATGATAGAAACGCAAATCCGCAAGTAGCTCCCAGTGCACCTGTCAGAGGTTCCTCAGCGTTGCGCTCCAATATCGACCCCAAGGCACCTTGTAGCCGGTGTTGAACCTGATATGGAGATAAAGACAAGCGGCAGCAGAAGAGTTCGAAACAGAGAAACCACAGGTCTGCTAGGGGTCCTTCAAAAACAGATAAGGGCCCCGGCAATTTGGGCAGCAGGGAAAGCGCTGCTTCCGCCGCTGCAGTTCCAGAAGAAAGGAGACACACTGCGTCGGACAGGCAATCATCGCCTGCTTCAGTTCCTGCAGCACCTGCTGCGGCATTTCCTGCTGCAGCCGCTCGTGGCTCACTAGCCACGGCGTATCCCGTTGTGGTAGCAGCGTCATTGTGCAGACTCAGACCAGCCATTTCGATTAGGGAAAATTAACACAGTAGCAGCACCAGCAGGACCAAGATGAGCCGCAGAAGCCCCCAAATTCCCCTTGTAGCCACGGCAACAGCATCTGCTGCCGCTGGAGCAGCTCTTCCTCACGCGATTCAAGAGAGTTTAATGTATCCTGTCACAGGCTCAAAGTTCCTCTTGCCACCCCTGCAAAAGAAGACACATAACTCTCCGGAGCCTCATAGATCTGATGGTGCGATCCGGAAGGCTCTCTCAAGTCGATCGGGGGCTTACAACGGAAGACAGAAATGAAGGTCAATGTACAAAAACTAAAAATGTATTCGAGTTTAGTGGAATTGCGCCAATAGCTAGGTTTTGGGGGTCGCAGCATGCCTCTAGACTTGAGGTTGCGCTCTAGGTCCAGGCTTTAGCGGCTCCTCTACGCAGGCTCTATTGCTGAGCTGTGCTGTGTGTCTTGTTCTTCGTGAGCAATGGCGGTCTAGCCCTGAGTTTAGTCTTTCAGGCATATATTTTATGGCGCTGACAGCCCTTTTCAGTTGGGTAGGCAGTGGTGGCTGGAGATAGTGCATAGATTCACCATTTGCTGAGGGCTCCCTGTAGTGAACAGGCACTTACAGTGGAGCTTGCTGGTGGCCTCTAGAGGTTAGCACGCTGGAAGAACACAAACAGCTCATTACTAATAATAAACGAAGGCAATTTATACGCAAGATAGCATGTGTAGGCTAGGAGTGTTTGCGGTGACGCGGGAACTGGGACGAGGGACAACCGATCAGGAGGGTCAGAATTGTTTATTTCTCGGCTTTTTAAGATGATTCGATGGATCGACTTGGAGGATCATTGAATATTGTTTATTTGAAGCTGTTTCATGAGATACGTGTCGAAGGTAGAGAATTCGGTAGAGGTCCCAGTTGGTGCGCAAGGATGTTACGAAGTGTAGCAGGGGAGAGCCCTGTTCACCACATTTGTGGGCTGCTCCGGGATTTTTTTCTCGTAAACTAGGTTTTGCTAAATCTAAAATACCTGCCCGAAGTGATTCACAACCCATCGCAACACAGCGACCACAAGGGAATAGGCAGGCACCACCACAGGTGACATCTCTACCCAATGACGCCGACCAGCCAGCGGACAGTGCGTACATTAGGTAGGAACAATTCAACACCACGATGATTGCAATGGAGAATGCTATGGAGGTGCCCAGAGCTTCATGCGCAGCGTCCCCCATACTTTCCGAAGACGGAAACACCATGCATGCCTTCTTGTTGCTTTCATAGAACGACGGTACACACAAATGGGACGACAGCTCAGCAACTGGAGAAGTGCGCTTATTGGCCGCTTCGTGGGCCAGGCTTTGGCTTGCTGGATGTATTTACGACGGACCATCGATCTGATTGACTGAAAGGAGGTATAACAAATGCTGTTGGTCGACAAAATAATGTCGCGGACCCTAGTGACGAAGGAATTGGCTAAAGTACGGTGGAAGGAAAATCCTAAGGAGTACAGGGAACAGTTTGCGGCTGTAGCGGAGCGTGGCGTGGGGTTTACCGCAGAAGAGCTAGCAAGATTTTATTGCACAGGGCTACCAACGGACACTCACTGTAGTGCACAGCGTTCTCTGCTGCTACGACGTTGCTTCCTGGAGCACGAATCAGGCGCCCTTCTGACAAATCCTCTACATTTGACACATAGCGCATGAAATAACACCGAATAATCAATAACCCGTCAGCTTTCGAGTTTTTCAATCAAGCTTTCCTGCTTTCTTGACCCGGTCGGGGCTGTGCACTTCACCGGTGCCGGCGTCATCCTCAGCCCCAATCTTAAGGTAATTACAGACGCTTCTAGTTTACGCATGCTATCTCGGTGATAAATTGCCTTACTTTGTCACTAGGAAGAAGTTTCTGCGCTCGTTCAGCGCGCTAGCCTCTTATAGGTCACCAGCTAGCTATTCTCTTAAGATCACCAGCAAACGCCATTGGAGTGCCTGCATTTATCTCTTCATAACCAGTAATGGGCAGGTGGTGCATTCCTCGTGGGAGCCAGCGGCAGCATCGGTAGCTAGATTTCACGAAGCTAAGATACTGGGTAGACTCCATAGGAGCCAGGAGAATGGAAATTGGCCTGGGGGGAAAACCGGGAGTTGCTACGAGTGTCTGGGTCGTGGAGATCAGGCACACGCCCTTCCCAGCAAAGAAGAGCATACAAAGTGTCTGGGGGAGCCCTGTAAGAAGTGTGGGGGTGTACGACACTATGCTAGGGACTGTCCTACATACAACTGAGGGAGGAGTGAGGCAAGCGGATGGAGCAGTGGACAACCAACACGTTCCAGCGATTAGAGGACTGAACATTTAAACGACAGGGCCTAGACATGGTGGGAGCCAAACATTCTAGGCCAGTTACCCATGACAAGGAGGTGGTGTGTGCAGCAGCTACGTGCCCTAATGCCATTCCACTACCCCTAGAGAGGGGAAAGCAGCAACATAATACGGAGCAATGAGCTTATGCAGGGGCTGAGGACGCGCAGAAGACTCAGCAGCAATCAGTGGAGCAGTGGGAGTTGGGGCCTGCACCGATACGAAGCGAAGCGGCCCCGTGCGAGAGGACGAACAGCAGCGGGAAGCCGACAGAGGTAACAGGAGAGGGCTACAGGTCAGAAGAAGCAGGAATTGTGTCGCAGTGGTGGCGGGAAACTTGTGCGAAGGAGATTTACAACAAAGGGGGGGACACTGCGTTATGTGGGTGCGACAGCGGTACTCCGAGCTGATGAGACGGGAAGTCTGTGCAAGGCACTCTTAAACACGGTAGCCTCGAGAAGCTTTATTAGTCCTGAAACAGGCGAACGGCTACAACTCCAGATGCGGCGACTTCCAAAAGAGCATACGTTCACAGTAACTACTGGTGAACAGTTGATCGTGTCGTGACGGGGTTGGCGAAGTGGTGCGGGCATGCATGCTTCTCGGGAGACTTCTTAGTAGGGCCTGTTCCCTGTGACGCAGTACTGCGGCCGAACTGGCTGACTGAACATAAGGTTGCTGTTCTCAAAGGTTTTGAGGGGGCGACCCCACTGTTCCCCTTCAACTTACGCAGTTATTTACCTGTCATCGTGCCGGCGCGTAGATGGGATCTTGCATGGAATAGAGGGCCCTCTATCCTATGCAAGACCCCATCTAACGAGTTCTCTGTTCTTTCACTGGATTGATCGAGTGGACTCTACTCCACTTCACACCTCCAAAGATGTGGGTGCTCTTTCTGTTACCCAAAGCGTTTGCGGACAGTCTTTTAATCTTCTTTCTCTGGTTTCCACCTCCGCTTCGCTCGTCTGTTTCTCCGCCTCAGATTACTCTACACTTCGCACTGCAGCTGATGCCTTTTTGGTGCTCAAGCTGCCCGCCAATGAGCCCAGAACTAAGGTATGAGTGCCGAAATAGACTGGATGCTTGTTTAGATAGACGACTCTTGTACTTTCACTATCCAGGGCAACCCCAAAGTCCTGGCCTTTCGGCGGTGGCCGGGGGCCATGAAAATGCGGCCACGATACCTTCATATAGGCAGAGAATTCAGATTGCTGGTGTTTCAAGCTCAGCACTTTGCGCTCTAATCTAAAGCTGAGTATCATGACTTGAGGTGTAGACTTCACGGTTTGCAACTTCCACCGTGCGCATCCTGAGATGTCGATACACCCGAGACGACTGCGAGCACATGGTAATCCTTTGAGGCGTATTTTCAACTTTTCCCTTCCTAATAGTCTAACAAACAACGTATAATAAAAGCCTTAATTACAGCTTTTACTGTTAATAGATGTTATTTTAAGGTTCACACTTGGGCACGTCTCAGTCGTGCAGCATTGCCTGTGCAAGGCGCCTGTACAGCAGTGGAGAATGCCTCTGTCTTTTTTGCCATCGTCTTGCATCGTAGGCCAGTAGACAAACCTTCCAAGTATAAGAAAAGACGGAAAACTCTATGTAAAAGACAAAAACTGCTCCAGCTGCCTCTGCTTGTGTTACTGTTGCTGCTGTTGCAACTGCTGCTGCCGCCCGTGCTGCCATGATGTCCCAGGGGTGCTCGTCAGCCGGAGCACATAGTTGACCGTAGCTGCTGCTGTGGGAAACTCCTGAAAATCTGCCATCCTTTTATTAAGTGTTTGTCTTTTATAGTTGGTCGTGAGTCTGGATGCTTTAATACGTCTTCCCGTCGCCTCAAGGTCGGGCGACGTTGGGAGACAGCTAGAAATGAGAGAAAGCAGACGGAGACAGGCGCAACAAGTATTCACAGACAGCAATAGCCATGAGTCAAGGGACCCACCCAGCAGCCTAAGGCTGGAGAGAGCTCCGCCATGGAGGCCCCCCGGTTTCCTGCAAACTGCGGCGAAGGGCCCCCTGGCAATGGGCCCCCTCCGCAGGGCAGCTACAGTAGCGGCTGCATTTCTTCTGCTGCAGTGTGCGGCCCTCGTCAGCGCGTCCACCAGGAGATCAGCAGATCTCTCATCAGCAGGCCCTGGTCCGCGCCCAGTGGTCGCGGACAAAGGCGGCCACACAAGCTCTCTTGAAAGGCCCCTAAGCTTTGGTAGCTACCCCCCAAGTTCCCTTCGTAGTTGGGACGCCTCTGTGCCGCCTAGGGCTTCTGAACACATAGAGAGGCCCCTGTTAACAGCAGTCTTTGGGGGCCCTTGGCGGCTATTGTCCCTAGTTTCGCCGTTTGTTTCGAATCGCTACCAGGAAAGCTTGTTGGATCTTCCCTTTTTTGTTCAATGCTTGTTTAGTGTTTCCTTCGTGTCTTTGTTAGGATGTTTGTTGGCCTTCTTGTGGCTGTTTTTGCGTCACCTTTCCAACTATTATGAGCCCAAGCTGCAGCGCATGATTTGCCGCATCGGCTGCGCCATGCCTTTCTTCGCCATTCTCTCGTCTGCTGCATCTCTCTCTGTCCTCTCCGAGCTAGGTCCAGCTCTGGAAGAGCCTTATGAGCTCTCCTCGCGGATGAGTCTCTCAAATGGTCTCGCCTTAAAGTGGGCTGG